CTACGCCCTTCTTGTGCTTGACGCTGAAGATGCTGCAGATCCAGCCCGAAAAGGACATCATCGTGGAGTTCATAAAAAACGAGGACTTCAAGTAAGTTGGCAGCTTGATTTTTTTCCCTCTTTTGGTTGTCGTACTGAATGAAACTGTCCAAAACAGCCAGGGAAACCTCAGTGCAGGGCTTAGCGTTTAGTGGGCCCTGATAAACTCTTGCTAAAAAGTATGTCCTTCCTCTGGCTTTCAAGACTGCTCTCTTTGTCACTTGGGCTGTTGGAATGGCTTGCCTCTGTGGCATGTGCTCTCTGTGATAATACACCTCCACCTGAAGTATTTAGAACGAGGTGCATTAAGGGAGCCATATTAATTTACTTTTTCTTCAGTATTTGTTTTGTCTTTGTGAGTGATAATACACTCATACAGAGTTTATATGTGTATACTTGAGTGTGTAGAGAGACATATATACACACACACAGACACACACTTGAGTACTTGAAAGAGAAAATCTAAATAGTCATGTATTCTGTTTATTTTAGTGTACTGATTTTCCTCAGAAACTTATGGGGAAAACTCCTCTTTTACCTAAACTGCTAACTAAGCAAAAAGCTCAGATACATGAAACGGTTTACTTTTCAGGTATGTCCGAATGCTTGGTGCGTTGTACATGAGATTGACAGGCACGGCCATTGACTGCTACAAGTATCTTGAACCACTGTACAATGACTATCGAAAAATAAAAAGTCAGAACAGAAATGGGGGTAAGCACTCTTACTTAGTTGTGGTTTCTTAGTACCTCATAGATGACCTTTTGTTAAAGTGTCAAGCTAGATAAAAGTAAATACTCTATTTGGTAATGTAAGCTTAAAAAAATGTGGCATAACCATCTTTTGAAACCTTACTTTTACTTATCCTTTGGATAGGTTGTTGCTGGTCTTGCTGACTTGTACAAATGAGAACTGCCTTGCTTATTTTGCTTTCCCCAAGTGCTTGTGTTTTCTGTTGGGCACTGAAACACAGTTTCATAAATACCAAAGAAACCCTGTTTGAGTGCTGGTTTAAGCACTGTGAATGTGCTAATCCTAGCTGTGCAGTAATTTCCTTTTTGCAGTATAGGCCTAATGATTTTCCTCAAGTTTGAGAATTATTTTAGAATTGTTGTTTGTACAGCCCACTTGACATGAATTGTCTGAAGTGTTTTATCTTTACTCTAGCTACTAGTGTTAATCTTCTTTGTCTTTTAAATGCTACTTTTCCCCCCCCCCAGAATTTGAACTGATGCATGTGGATGAATTTATTGATGAACTACTCCACGAGGAACGTGTATGCGATATCATTCTGCCTCGATTACAGGTTTGGAATAATAGATGGTCATGGGATTCTTAACTGCATCAGGTTCAGTAGTTGTACCAGCTACTGGCTTGTTGCATAAAGCGATGATACAGGCCCTTCTGGCACACGAGATGCCTCCTTAGGTGTTTGTTCTTACTTGGGTTATGTAAGATAAAGTTGTAATTTTTCCTAGAAACGGTATGTTCTGGAAGAAGCTGAGCAACTCGAGCCTCGTGTTAGTGCTTTGGAAGAAGACATGGATGATGTAGAATCTAGTGAGGAGGAGGAAGAGGAAGATGAAAAGGTTGGTGAACTATTTTGGAAAGGGAAAGTTAAAGCTAGTGCTCAACCACTGCAGAACACTTTATGGCCTATGAGAAATATTTGAGGGGAGGCACCAGGAGGTTGCTTGCAACTCTTACCTCCCCCCTTAACATATTTTCATACAACCTGCTTGTGAGAACTTAGTTAGACCCTGAAGCAGTTCTCAAGTACTCCGTGTTTGTCAAGCTTTTCTGTCTCCTGAAATTCACACATCTGGATGTGTTCTGTGTTAAACATGTTTCAGATAAATTGTTTTACGTACATATATAATGGAGAGAACTAAAGGTGATGATGAAAGTGACCATCATAGTCAATTCTGCTGTACTACTTAAGAATCAACAGTATGAGAGTTGGCTGTTTTAACTTCCAGTTGGCAAACTTCGGCAGTACCACTCACTTCTGAATATGAAATACTTGAGGATGGGGAAGCTTGATGGCATGACTCTGTCATTTATATTAACTGTTCAGAAATCTTTACTGATAAAAACCTTAATGAAACAAGACTGACAGAACCTCTTCCCCCATTTTTTCCAGCTGGAACGAGCACCCTCTCCTGACCACCGCAGAAGAGGCTACAGAGACCTTGATAAACCTCGCAGATCTCCAGCTGTGCGATACAGGCGGAGCCGAAGCAGGTCCCCAAGAAGGTGACATGGCTCTTCTTGAGCAATATTTTTACTTATTGTACTGCAGATGGCTGGAGCAAAGCATAGAAGTGAAGATGATAGTTCAGTCAGAATCTCTTATGCCTCCCAATTCCTTCAGCCAGTTTCTAAAGTAAGGAATTGCAGTGCACAGCCACAGTCAACCCGTCTGCCTGTTTCTCTAATCCTTCAGTAACTCTTGAACTTGCTGTCCAACTTTAGCTAAATTTGACAATACGGTGAAGATACTAAGGAGAACCACTTTGTTTTGCTTTGTTTTCATGTAAGCCAGAGGCTGCAGATAAAATCCTGTTAACTGTTCTTACTGATAAGAAGGCAGGAAAAACTCATCACTAACCTTATTTGCTCACTGTATGGGCCAGTCCAGAAGCACGTACTGCCTCTTGTGCAGCAGGCCAAGCACACACTAACTGGGGACGCAGGGAGGTGCAAGGGAAGCCCTGGTGCTGTTCCCGGAGAATATGGGAAATGAAACAGCTGGTTCTGCTAATGATTTTTAGTGACTTTTTTTTTTCTCCCCCAATTATAGGCGAAGCCGCTCTCCAAAGAGAAGAAGGTAGTCTTTTATTCTATTATTTAATCTTAGAATGTATGCATCTTTAGTATGGCTATCTTAAAAGCTTCTTTTCTCTCAGTCCATCACCACGCCGGGAGAGGCATCGCAGCAAAAGCCCAAGACGACACCGGAGCAGATCCAGGGAGAGGCGTCACAGATCAAGATCTAAATCTCCAGGTATTTTTGTCATTTACAGATTAACTCTGGCGAGTCTTTTATCAGCAGAACATCCACCGCAAGAAAAATCTGCGTCATGGTATCAAGAAGGTAGCATAAGGTGCTTAATCTGGCTCATAAAACCGCTAGTTATATGAAAACACAGCTGGAGAACTTCTTTAATACATGCAAAATTGAGTACATTTTTCAAATATTTGCCAGGAGGTTAATTTGAGTGCCTAATTAAGGCTAGGGTTGTTCTGACATTATCTGGGACACTTCATCACTACAAGCAGATTGCATTAGCAAGACAAAAAAGAATTCCAGGGTCTATGGAAGTAACTGTTACCTTTTTATTTCATAGGGCATCATCGTAGTCACAGACACAGAAGTCATTCCAAATCACCTGAAAGGTAAAGGCTTGGCCTATTTCTTAAGGGTGTCTGTACTGCTGTAAGGAGCTCTTACTTCTCATTTAGTTTTGGGGACTGTAGGTCATCTTACAGTGTTGGAGATCAAGTATTTCATACGGTACCTCCCTCAGCATCGTAGTCAAGTCACACTATCCGTATTTGACCATAGAAAACATTACTTACTGCTATGAATCACCTTGGTCTTTCAAAACAATTACTACTCCTGTGTCATATGGCTTTTTTTTCCCGTTTCAGATCTAAGAAAAGTCACAAGAAGAGTCGGCGAGGGAATGAATAGCAAATTAAATCCAGCACACAGTTTAAGGACCTTGAACTGCAGTCTAACACTGTCCTGTTTGCTTTACAGGACAGCTGGATATGTACTGGCTGCTTTAGCAGTCCACTTCATTAATCCTTCTGTACAAGTCTTGTTTGGTTTTTTTAAGTAAAAGAAAGCTAAGGATGCTTTTTATGTAGTTAATTACTCATCCTCATGATGGAATTTGAGGATTGTTTTTGAATTCTTTTTCTCAAGGCCTGTAAAAACTAGTGAAGAGCAATAAAAAAAGGGCCGGCGTTGTCTTTAAAGGCTCCTTGCTGTTTCTTTCATAATACTTTGTTTAGATGTCCCCAGTTGTAGCTGGCTTCATTCTCTAATCAGGGCATTGTTTTAACAAACTGCCACTGCATTCAGTTGCCAAAGCGAGAGTATGTTTGAGTTAGAAACACTGAAGACCTACCAGCCTGAGCTATCTCAAACCTCCAGTACAGGGAAGGAGGTAAGACTGTCATAATCCAGTGTGTTTACTAAAAGCAAGAGCTAACTTAAAACAGCTTTCCAACACAGAGCTGTTACTGTTTCCTTTGCAAGCATCAGCCTTAAGTCTAATGATACACTTCTTGTGATGCTACTATCGGACAGTTTAGAAGCTTCAAGTAGTACAAAGCACCACTTAATTCTTTTCAGGCAAGAAGTTGTTCAGTGTATTTAAAGACAGTAAACCACTACCTTTGAGCGTAGTTTGTGGTCTACCTGTGACTGGGGACAGAATATGACACAATTATACTCAGCTCTACCATCTCTGAATGAAGTTAGCATTCAGCAAGTCCCTGTTCTTCAAATTAATAATAATTAAGGTCTTACATAAGTAAATGTACTACACTGAGAACTGTAACTTGAGTATCACAGGAAATCAGTTGTGTTAAACCCCTTGTGTACCATCCCTTTATTCACAGTCCTGCTTCAGGAGCAAGACTGACAAGTTTTATCTCCTGAAGACTGCATTTATGACTTAAGTATTTTCACATATTGCCCAATGAGTGTTGACAACACAAAAAGTAGTATGCCAAGTGAATTTATGGCAAGTCCTCTTGAAAATTACTTCATAGTGCAGCCTGATTTTTCTAGAGTATTTTCATATTATTTTTGCAAAGTTTATGAACAGAAAAGCTAGCATACTCTTCCCTCGAATCAAGTATTTTACAAGACAGACACACTGGCTGTGGACAGCACATGCAGTGACACCAGCATGGGGAAAACCAGGTATACTGATTGTATGACTTGTTCAAGCTGCTCATCTTTCATCTCCTCTTTACGATATCTAAATTAAAGCCATTTTTATTATTCTGGTTTTCTAAGTACAGTTAAATGCAAGCATGCGTACAAATAGGGAAGAGGAAAAAGTGTCCTTTTTTTCAGTTTTATTTTTCTTTTAAAAAGTTTTTTGGCACTACATAGTTCTGTAAAGAATAGAAGTGACAAATTTTTAAACACATTGAAATCCCCTTCTAATTTTATTTTTTTAGAACAATATATATAAAGTCTGAAGCAACCAAAGTATGAATACAGCTAATAGAAAATAAAGAACTTAATTTTAAAAATTCTCTCTCTTTACAGTTTATCAAGATAAAACAAAACACAATTCCCCTTAAAAATAGGGTAATAAAATAGATGAAATTTGTATCACTCAGTTTTGTGATACTAGTAAAAACTATAGTTCATATCTATGTACAAATGATACAGTTTAAAAACAGTCTTAAATAATCTTGTATCTAAACATGTTGCATTAAGATTTTAAATCAGAACCTGAATTTTTTTCCTCCCCTCCCCCCACCCACCCACAATCCCATTAAATTTCACTTTTTCTGTTGAATGTAATTCAGATTCAAGTGTGGGTGTCCTTGAGACAGAAGCGAGAACCGCTGGTTACTCTGCATCAGTGGACCAGCTAAAAGAAAATGGATTACAATTACTTCAGCAAATTAAATATATTTAACAGTGCTTGGCTATATTCAGTGTATTAATCTTACTTAGAAATAAAGCCATTTACTACACCAACACAAACGCTATCTGTACGACTAACCCATTTAATGGGACAGTGCAGTATTACTTTAATCCTATCTCCAAAATTCCCTCAGAATCATCAACACATCATTTTGTTGCATTACTTTAGTTATTCAACAAAAATAATTTCAGGATTTTTAAATATGGGTCTCACTTAGAAACCTCACTACAGCCAACAGATTAGATTTTGAAAAAAGGATTTGGTGTCAGTAGCTCTCATTTTATACTAGGTGACCCAGCAACATGGTTACTGCAAAGCCTGCAAGTAAAATTTGGGCATAGTTTCACTCGTAGTGGAGCCAAAGGTCTTCTGTCCTACAGCCTTTCCCAATCCTGCCAGATGCTGAGCACCTTTACCATTCGGTAGCATCAGAGTCGAGAGAAAGTCAGTCCTTCGAAGAGCCCTGAATAAGTGAACCTGATCTAACCTTGCAGTTAGCGCTGCTTTGACTGCAGACGGGTTGGACTAGATAACCTCCAGAGGCCCCTTCCAACCTGAATTATTCCATGGTCTTGCAAGTTTTTATCTATGTAAGTCAGTCATTCCACAACGCAAGGTACAAAAGCCAAATAAAATTAATTAGGATAAAATTTCCTTCATATTCTTAACACGCTCATGGGCAAATCAGCTTAACCTCTATTGAAGCAGAGGTGGCTCTACAGTGAGACAGCAGCAGTGAAGGAGAAAGAGGCTAGAAGTGCAACAGACTGCAAATTGGCTCAGATTTCAGAATTTGATTTAACCCCGTCCCTCCCACAAAGATTTTAATCCATCCATACAGGAAGCTGAAGCGTTGATTTGACTCTTGGATTCATATGGTTCCAGGGAGCCTAGCAAGTGAAACATGATTCCTTGGCTTTTAAAGCCTTTGAGACAGTAAAGAGACATGTTGCATGAGCTGTTGATTCATATACTAGTTCTAGTACCTTGAGGGTAGAAAGGTTTGTTCGGTGGATAGCTGGCATTTCCCTGCTGCATGTAGTTCTGAGGCATATTGTAAGGCCACGCTCCTCGGAGGAGAGGAAAATGGGTAGGGGTCCCATGGTCCCAAGGGACAGAAGGAGGGTTCATTTTACCAAACTGTCCTTGGAAACCCTGATCTATTTTTCAATTGAGAGGGAAAAGCACATTGCAAGTTGAAATAATTAAACAGTAAGTCACAAATACAATTTACATCTTAAATAACAGTTTGCAGGGGACTTAATGCGATTAGGCTGATGTGCTACTTTTTTTTTTTTTTAATCTACATCAATAAAAATTACCACCTAAATTACTTCATTATTCACTATAATAGAATTTATTGGGGACAGTATTAAAATCAAGACCTACAATTTCACTATTCCTATGTCATTCTCATGATTAGAAACACAAGGTCTGAACAAGGTTACTAATACCTGATCCCACACAGATATTCACTATCACTGACATAGCTGTGACATGAAAGCTATTATCCTACTGCAAGAAATAATTCTCAGATGTAGACTGGAATTCCACTAATACTTGTATGCTTAAGAAACTTGATATCTAGATCATTGGACCAACTTAAAATTGATTTTTAGAGAGACAAATAAAAACTTTTTAAATAAGTACACAAATTGTAAGCTATTCCATTTACAAATTCAATATTACTGCAGCATGAAGGATGAGAAATCAAGCATCCAAGGAGGCAGGACACACAACAGTTGATGCCAAATGCTGTATTACTAATCCTGCTCTTTTTGTTCATAGCTCCCAATTTTATAAGACACAGCAATGCCTGCTAATTTAAAAACTTGATCAATGTACATTTAAAAATAAAAAAATAAATCTGACTACCCTTCTCAGTATATCAGTTCCCCGTCAGCTCCATCATAAAAAAAAAACTTGCATACAGACTTTCATTAAATACAATAAGCTACCCATTTAAAAAGAACAGTAACTTTTATAGAACAAAACAGGAAGCATGGCTCTGGAGTATGCATGAATAGAAGTTGTTTGTCTGAAACTTCTAATGATCCTACTTCTGGTCAATTGTCTACTGAACAGAAAGTAAAATCACTCCTTCAAAGTCAAAGTTATGTGAGCCAAGACAAAGTTTCCACAAACTTACTGTTCTCAAATTGTCCCGAGCAAGTAAGAAAGCAGGCTTCGAACAGAAAGCAGACAGCTCATCTCTAAACTGATTAAAAGAGGATACAAAGAGGAAAAATACTAGGACTGGGAACTAGGAAAAGGAGTGTGATGAGATTGGAAATAGACGGAAGTTGAGGGAAGGGCAAAAAAAAATACTGCGACTGACAGCACAAGAAAACTGGGGAACCTGTGCAAGCACAGTGAGAGCGGAAGCAAACAAACTGAGAGCAAAAGGCAAAAGACTGAAGACAGGGACTGACTGACTATACAACGAGAAACATGACTTGCTAAGGGAGAATGGAACAGAAACTAGGATTTGGGGAGCTTGTCTGAAAGAAGGCAACTACCTGGGTAAGAAGACTTGGAATGAATATTGCTGCTTGAGAAAAAGTCAGAGCTGGGGTGGACATGGAGGAGGGGACAGACGAGCCTGGACAGACAATTAAGATCAGAAATGGAGAGGGAGGGACAAAGCACACTGAAGGCACAGAAGATACACTGGTAGCAGTTTCTGTATCCTCTAAAATATATTCCCACAAAGCTCTGAATAGAAAAACATGCATCTCCAGCATCTCAGCAAATACCTGAAACTCCTTGGTGAATTATATATACCTCATCCAACACTGTTGACTCAGATGAAAATCTACCGTTGCTGTCAATCACCTTACTAGTGCAGAGGAAGGCTGTGCAGGAGATTCAGAATTTCCATCTCGTGGTGAACAACTGCATCAGTGTATTGTACGATGGATTTTTTTTTTTAAACAGAGGAGTTACGCACTCAGAATAAATCAGAAGTCCATTATCATGATATAAAGATCACAGTTCAAATTTAGGGGCTGCCAGAGTTTATGTTGCACAGAAAGCTGTATAGGCTTTAATTACTATATACGGTTTTTCTCAGCCTCAAACATACAAATGTACTTGGCTTTGGTATGAGGCAAAAGGCCGTTACCCGCTTGTTGCAGGGAAAATCTGTATGAAGTTTTCAGGAAACGACATTGAGATTATGGAAGTTAAATGTGGCAGGATAAACTATAGGAAAAAAGAATGCATAAGATCATGTTATATTGCACTAAATGCAAGGAGGCAATATTCAACTTGCACAACTATAATTCTGCCAGTCTCTAAGTTCATAGTTGCAGTCTCAGCACTCATCTAATAAACTACATTACAACGTAAATGGAAACCATATTTGTAAGCACACTCACAGAAATGTGCTTTAGAGTCAAACAATTAGAACATTTCTCAGTTGAATGCATGATTTCTCATGTGTTGCACAGCTGTGAATGGCAGATAGGACCAATGCCTAGAAGTTACAATGATCCAACTTGCCTAATTTTTTTCCTATGAAAATGTTAAGACAGTGAATGCAATTACTTTGTTTCTTAAGCATCGTATTTTTAATATAAAACAAGTTGGAAGAGTTAGCTGTTTCTGTAACACTTAACACTTGTACACAAAGTGCGAGAGGTTTGATACAACAGAGAAGAGTTACCTGAATTCCCCACAGTGCCATTGTTCACCAGTGAGTTTGGAGTCACAGGATTGTGCCAGTGTCCCTCATGAGAAGTGCTGGGGATTCCCATGGGCCTGGCAGCAGGCTGTGCAAAGATGATACTGGGATCGTTCAAGCTTACACTGCTCTGGTTATTTGTGGTGCTGCTGCTGCCAGATCTCATAGAAAATGGAACATTTGTAGAATGAGGAGGGTTACCCGGTGCAGAGTGAATAACGGGCCCATGAATAGGCCAAGAAGTGTTGGGAAGCTGAATTTGGTGGTGATGGTGCATCTGAAGTAGTCCCAGGTTATGCAAGGTGGAATACTGACCTGGGGGAGATTGGGGAAAGTTAAACAAAGGCAGCTGGACCTGATGGGGTGGCTGTGCACCCTGCTGTGGTTGCGGAACGTGCTTAGACTGGGATATTGGTTGTGGCTGAGTCTGGTTAATGGAGGCTGGCTGAGAGGAATTCTGTGTAAATTGTTGAGGTTGTGGAGAGTAAGATGACTGATGAGAATCAGACTGGAGGGGAAAAAAAAGTATGTATTTCTGATTAGTTCACTAGCTATTTAATGGTGTTTTTCTTTAACAAGCACCCCCTGTATTAGACTATCCATAAAAAAAGGCAAAGCACTCCCGAGCAACACCCCAAATACTGCACCCAAGTTCCTGCTGGTTTAAATAATTGCAGGTCGACTGACACTGATTTTCACCACCAGATAATTTGGTCTGTAAATGTGGCACATCCCACCATCAGAAACATCATTCTAAGCAAACATCAGCCCCAAGCTCTTCATTAGACTCCTCGCACATCTGTTTCTGATTTTTAATCAGTGTCTTCCCCACCCAACTTATTTACAGCCCAGAATCTCATTAACTAATTACCTTACTTCTAAATACAGCGGTTCTTATTACTACAGACACTTTTTTAAGTAATTCCAAAGTAAACTCCTAATATTTCTTTAATTTTTATTTAATCTGTTAAACAAGAAATTGAAACTCCAAAACCTCAGTTTCAACCTCCATATCCTGATGTTAGGTCATGGCTAAAGGCACAGAAATAGCAATTATTACTGCCTTTGCAGAACTCTTACAAAGCTTTCCCTTACGCCAGCAACAGAAACAGGCATGAGCCTATTTCATCTGTTTGGTATTGCAACTAAGCAGAGAAGCACTTCAAGAACTTGGGTGGCTGGGAAAAGAGGTCCCCAGTTTATCTGCCAAAATTTATTACCTATGTCTGGATGAACCAAATCTGATTTAAAGCACTGACACAAGATGGTGATGGCATAAAACAGGTGCCTCCAAAGAGAAATTCAAATGACAGACAGCTACCTAAACCAGAGATGATTACCTGAATCTCCGATCTCAGTCTCTCCCTGGAGTTGCTTGTCTCCCTCCACAGACTATAGCAGACAGCTAAGCTCCAAGTAACTCAGCTGCTGTCAAACATCTGAAGTTAAAGGTCTCTGCAGCTTGTCACTATCCATGACTGCTCGCCTGTCCATTTAAATTGGCAGTCACTTTTCTTCAATAACCAGAGGTCTGCAGGACTTCCACATGCCAGCCTTTCAGAGCGTTCCTTATAGCAGCATGCTGTGTGCCTTTGCCTGGGCAAAAGCTGACGCCAAAAAGCTGGGATTGCTCCCTGCTGCTATTCCAACTGTTCCTGTATGAGTGCCTCCTATGCCTTTCTATCAAACCAGGAAGGGAAGGTAAAACCAGGGATTTGAAAGACAACAACTAGTTTAACAGTTTAAACATTATAAAAATTAGAGCACATGCACTGACTACAGCCTTCCTGCAAACATTAAACCACCACAAGCATGCACTGGACATGCCAGCAGCAGGACAGGAGAAACGTTAAGCTCCAGCCTCTTGGTCCGCTCCCACACTCCCGCTTTCCCTTTTCTCTCCCTCTTGCTCCATTAACATTCCCCCTTCCCATTCTCCTCAATCAATCCCTGGACAGCACATATTCACCAAGAAATCCTGGCCAAATGACAACCATGCAACACACACACAGAGTCCATGACATCTAGATGACACAAGAATGTGCACATGCAGTAGGTCCAGTGTGCGTGATGTGCCTGACTCTGCGTGCACCCACATGTCCAGCCTCAATTTCCCAAGCAGACATACAAGGCTCCTAAAAAGACACTCCTGTGTCATGTGATAGCATGGTGGCAGTTCAGCCCTTCACTGAGATTAGGGCTGTATCAGTCCCTCCTTAACAGCATATTATTATAGTAAAAATGATGTCATAAAGTCTCTGTTACTGGAGCAAACATTCCAATAAATGCTTGCCGATCAGTTAGGAAATACTCTATACCTAAAATAGTAAACTGAACAAAAAGCATTAGTGATCAGCAGCCCTGATTACTATGTTTGCTTACTTGCCAGCTTCATTAGCAGGCACTTGATTCTCAGACGAATAGCTTAAAATTAATGAATTTCTGCTGTATTCTGTACTCCAAAAACATTAAACCCCAACAGCTGTATTTGCTCAAATACGCTCTGCTATCCATCTCCACTTAGAAACAGGTTAAACACTTTTTATCTAGTTCTATACAGACTTGAACAAAGTCTAAGAGAAAACTATGAAAAACTTCCCCATTCTTCTGTTAGTGCTTCTAGTGTGCTCTGGCAGACTTTTGCCCTGTGTATCACATCTGAATTGAAGTACGATTCATCTGTGTTCCCTGCCTGTTCATGACAGTCCCTTAAGACAGTTCTCTTAAACCACAGAGAATCACGATAGTCACAAACCTAAGTCTCCAGCATGTTAACGATGAGCTATGCTTTACTTTCCTTGGTAACTCCAGAACATTGCCAGAATAACTATGCACAAGACTTCAGAAAGCATTCCAGTTTAAATCTCAAAGATAGTGAAGCTGGCCTTTCAGAATTGCAAGCCATCTCATACGGAATTTGACTATGTAGTTTCATATTGAGAGACCATAAATGATCTCCAAAGACACTACATTATAAATCAAAGTTTCATTAACTGGCAGAGTGCAATGTTGTCATTATGAAGTCCAGAACGTGTTGAGAAAAAACTCTGCAAACCTGTTCCTAACATGGCACAGGATCGCTGGTTTGCTACAGCTTGCTTACTTCAATACTATAGCTAATTGGAACTTACACATTCTGATGACTGTCTAGTGCGCAAGGGTCGTTCCACTTGCTGCTGACTCACAGCCACTAGCTGTGAATTTACCATGCTTCGGACCAACTGGGTGCCTAATCAAGGAACAAAAATGTTAATAAAAACCACAAGGTTATGGACAACAGAATAATGAACACAGAACTGGGAGTCAGCGATACCTTAACTCTCATGTGACACAGAACAGGTGAATCACTTTAACCTCTCCTCTCCTTTAAGTGGAAACCTTTCCCTCTACTGGCAACAGCTGACATTAGTTAAGTATAGCAACTAAACCCAAAATCTGAGTAATACAAATTCTAGCATGAACGAAGCTCACTTTGCTATCAGACAGGAGTGCTACTTTATACAGGTTTCCACGGTATTCCTGTAAGCAATGGGATTTTAAATAGCCATAGCAACAGCAAAAACTTTTGGGCAAGGAAAAAAAAAAAAAAAAACACCAAAAACATGGGGCGGGAGGGGGAGAGTATCAGAACACAGAAAAACAGCAAGGCTCTCTCCCTGAAGTTCATTTATGATTGCTTTCTCCACTTTTTCAAGTACTGCAGGCAACTCAGGGCCTAATTTGAATGAGTTTGCAATTAGACTTGTCTCTAATTACTAACAGTAATTTGAAAGCTGGATCTAGCTTCCTAATGCATCTGTATGCTTTTGGGAGTGTCACTTTAAGACCACTGATTTTTGGTGAAAATACATTTACTTACCTCTCACAGATGATAGAGGGTTAGCTAACATTTGAGAAACATTTGGAAGAGGAAACGCATTCAATTATTACTATTATTACTTCTCAGTAATACACCTATTGTGAGTGGAAGACAAATAACGCAATACCCTGAAGTACACTACACTTACTGCTGAGTACATTTTTGACACCCATGCAAAGACTGTACTTCAGGAGGCATTACTCCCCTTGAAGAAAAGCAACACTTCGACTAAAAGTTGTATTTGCAATGACTGAAATCATTAGTTGCAGAAATGTTTTAAGATAATTACCAGGTCTGTATAGAAAGCTAGAGAGAAGGGATCTCACAAATTTCAAATTATACTAACACCACATAAGCTAACTTACCTGGCACACTATTATTTCTCTGACGGGTTTGTTTGAATTCAGGACAATCTCTTCTAACGTGACCAACATCCCCACAGATAAAACACCTTTTCTCTCTTGTTTCTCTATCATCTTCTTTCACTTCTTTTTCATCATCTTTCTCATTCTCCTTTTTCTTCAACCTGAGTAACAGTTGTTATTAGCAGTATCACAAAACCACACACACACAAAAAAATCTCTGTAGAGTTGTTATATTGGTATGTTCAAAGGAAATGATTACATAACCAACAGCTGTACCAGAACAGAAGTATCTTACGAATCCCAGAAAAATACTTTCAGAATCTGGGCTGGTTAACAACCTGTTTGTATAAACTTCATGAACTTAGAAGCTCCCCAGATTTGTCCAGAAGCTATCCGACTATATTAGTGCAGAACTATACCTGCAGTTAAGTAGGCTTAGTCTGCCAGTTAGTTTCGGAGTAGTTCTATGCAACAATCCCACTGAGTCAGACTATACACAAAACAAGTTAGCTGTATCTTGTAGGTATAACCTCCCCCTGACTGGAGATGGCATATTTCTCTCTAAGAGTATATTAGCATCCTGAGCCTAGACAGGATGTGAAAGAAAGCACTGAGGCTCTTTCAAACATTCAATACTAATACAACAAACAGGAGATGAACTAGTGATCAGGAACCAAGACAAGACATAAAGGTCTTTTTCCACATGTAGGATTGTTACATATTAATACTATTTTGTGAGCTATATATACAATTGAGAGAGATTCTGTGTGGCTGTGCTGTAGTAGCAGTTTGTGCAAAGAGCAGATCACAACTTCTTTTCCTGACGCATTTGAAAGAGGTGATGCAATTCAATGTGCTAGTGCTTGTGAGGAGTATGTTAAGGGAGCAGCTGAAAGAAACAGTCAACCTGTGACCCTAGAGCTCCAGTCCAGTTCATGTATCTTGAACTCTGCTGACTGAACAAAAGGCTGTAAATAAGGACTTTGTAGCAGGAAGAGATGAAGAATCTTTTGAAGAATTACAGAGCACACAACTGAACATAAGGAGTAAATGAAAGAGTCCAGACTCTAATCTGCATTCTAAGGGCTTCAACAGTTTTTAGGAGTCATTGGACAACCAACACTGAATGGGTCATTAAAAATCCAAAGATGTAAAAATGCAAGGAGTACACATTCTCTGTCCATTCCTGCTAAACTCTATTTGGAGACGTTGGCCTGCATGTACTAGGGACTCCTTTTGAAGGAGTACTGGATCCAAAACTCCTAAGGGCAATTAATGTACAAGTGCAAGACCACTAAGTGACTGGCACCAGTATGATGTTACAGAAATGTACCTTAACAATGTACATTTTAACTACTCATAGATTTTAATAAATGAACTTTTACCTGTCTTGCAGAGGTACGTTATCAGATCTATAGAACAAATTAAATTCAACATTGTCTTCTGAACATGATCACTACAGGAAATCCATTTTAATACATTAGAAATTGTGCAGCCAGGTAATATGGTCTCCAACTGAATGTTTACACTATAAAAAGATAATTCAGTGATCTGAATTTTAAGGTAAACTGTAACTACAGATAGATCATGAAGCAAAAGTGTTAACATATTATTACAGACTGTTGATTTTACTCTGTGTGTGTTTGCATAAACACTCTTAAGATTTAAAGAGATGGCCAAAAATAGTCTTAAGAAAAGCAAAAATAGGATGGGAAATTGAGGATCAGATATGAAGTTTTGATTTTCTCTGCCATTCAGCACAGAAATTCTTTAATTTCCATTAAAATTTCAAATATCCAAATCTGTCCTGATTTAATCTCAAAGATTTTACGTTAGCTTTATATATTACTTACCTCCTCCTCTTTGGACAGTCTTTCATGTAGTGACCAATTTTTCCACAAACACGACAACATCTGTCATTGGGTGCCAATTCCCCATCTGTCAGCACTTTTGAGTCAAAAAAGTATTCCTATCAAAATACATCAGACAGATAGTAAATACATAAACCATTCACTTACAAGACTGAGAAATGAAAGCAAAATGGCCACTTTTCACTTCCTATTGTTCCTGAAATTTTACTACTTCTTAGATTATACCTAGCCCTTTCCTTCCCCTAGATAATGGCAGCTTTTTCAGAGATGTGGAGCAGTTTGGGCTAAAAAGGGGTATTTAGTCTTAGGGCCAGAGGCTGAATTTGCAGAACAGCTTATCCAGACTCCAGCCTGCTGCCTACCTGCTGCTTCCCCAAAGGCTATTCCGAGGGCAATTTTTTGCCTATGATCTATTTTGGTATCTGAGTCACTGCTTGTATGCTTTCCGAAGCAGCCTACGTCCCTTCCCAAATTACATGATTCTATCCCCCTAGGCAGAACAAAGCTCAGGTGGGAAACAGATGGAACATCTGCACACTGACCTGTATCACTCCCCTCCCCTGGAATTTGCTAAGGACAGCTGCAGTTCTGACATGTGTCAGCGCAAAGGCCACAGTTCACAGCCTCTGAGCAACATAAACATTGTGAAAGTACTATTTTGCCTGAAAGACTGAAATAGAGGTACCAATGGAAATGTCCTAACTCCAGCTCGGGAACGAAGTCCTACTGTAGACAGGTAATTTACTGAACCTTTTTGCTACAGTCTCCTCTCACTACCACTAAGCTGCAATACAGGGCATTGGCTTAGGAAGCAGATCGAGAACTCCTCCTTTGTTGGGTGCTTTGGAGAAATAAAATGCTATCTAATACTATTGGCATCATTTACTTCACATAAGAGACAGCACATGTGCATGCTAAGGCTGCTTTCTGTGTTGCCTTTTACCCTTATGTAGAATGTTCAGTGAAAATCTGAGATGAGGCAGAACACCACAAACGACCACATATACAAACACACAGTATATGCTTTCCAGAAGCGCTATAGCCTTATGTTGAACATGCATGCAAACAATTAAAAAAAAAAACTAATTAGCAATAATATTAGATATGCTCCCATATTTGTCAGTTATACATAACTACATCCACACTGTAATTCATTACTATTTGTATCACAGTAGTACTCAAAAGACCCAATAAAAGCAGGTCCTATTTTATTAGGCATTGCACAAACCAGAACACAGTCACTGCATTAAAGAACATTTAATACAAACTCAGAAAAAACACAGATAAAGTAAGCACATGGAAAACAAAAGATAGGGAAGGATGAGGGGAAATAAAAGCTTTCAAAACATTTTCAAAATCCCTTAGAAACACAAACCCTGTTAAAAGCCATCGGGAGAACAGCCCTCTAAACTGTCTTAGAAAACGCTTTTCTAAGTAAATGTTAAAAATATTAATTCCAGCTGATTTATTTTGCTCATATAAAAAACAGTTCTCTATTATGCATCAATGACTGGACCCTGCACCACAGGGGAGTACTTTCTCTAATATGATGTTGCATGAACACATTCCTGACCCTGACTCACTATGCAAATTTTGAAGGTCAACTGATTGGGGAAGGGCGGGGGGAAGTTGATCATAGTCCTTTTCCTTCCTTAAGAAGCAATCCTTACTTTCCCCACCAACTGCAAAAATAAGATTCATGAGATGTTACATTCTACTGTTTTCTTTAGCTACGTGAATAGCTAGCAAAGTTCCTAAAGGTGTTTCTGGGTTTTACAGCACATTTTGCAGCTTTCTGCAATACTTAATGTCACAAACAAAACCAAACACAAACCCAAAATAAGCTTACTTTCCCCAAACCTGCCAAAAATACCCATCAACCATCCAACTACTCAACTACTCCTATGAATTTTATATTGCAGGAGCCCAATACTAAGCTATACATTTTGTGCAGATCATGTATAATTACATACATTGTGCACACCAAATTGATAAATACATACAAGAGGTTTGCTTTAGATGCATCAATGCAGTGGATGAAGAAAAGTAAACAACATACTAAAAACTATGAAAACTTACAGCTTCTCTTCCAACAGCTGGGTAGAATGGGGTACCAAATAATTTTCTCCCATTGATAAATGCCTTCATTATGAAATTGGTCACTATTGAAGAAAGACAAAGTTATTGGAAAATAACAGAAAAGGCACAACACTTTAGAAATTAGCGAACATTGATCATTAGTGGACATTAATAGCTTACTTTTCCTAGAGACTCCAGCACCCAGATTATGATTCAAGTCAAAAGGATCTGTGTAAAGAAGGGAGAAAAACAAATCAGAGTTGGAAAAAATATGCTGCAACAAAAATTTTCTATTTAACACAGAAAATTCCATTTTAAATGCACTCACAGAGTAGATGATAGCAAAGCAATGCTGAGTGTTTTAAAAATACGGGACTAACCATAATAAAGTAAGAGCAATTTACTGACATGTACTAAAAGTTAGGAGTCTGATCTCATTTTGTAAGCTGCAGGACTTGCAAACAATGTTTTTAAACATTGATGGTAGTTTCCTCACATGAAGATCCTGTGCAACAAGGAGAACAGATGCTCAAACAACAGTGTTCATCACTCCCCCATCAATGGAACAAAAATTCAGCAGGTAAGTACCTTCGATGGCAATACATTTGGATGTCCACTGTTTCTCAAACGTAGTTAACAGCTTCTTCTGCCGGATGCTGATCACATATTCCTTGAAGTCAAATTCTTCAGTGTAGAATCGCAGCAACCCTAGCCAGAGTTCTCCAAGTGATTCAGTGTTCTTTCCAAGAGAAGGCAGACGCTTCTTCTGCATGCAATTGAAGACACAATTTATTCAGCTACAGTTATGCAAGTATTTCTCCTGCAAACTCTCTGAGTTTGTCTATGACGAACAGTTTCACTTGGTTAAAGTAAGGCTAAATTGCTACAGTTAACACTACCTCAATCTTGGACTGTTTATTAGGAGTAAAAAGTATTTTTCCTGATTTATGTTATTTAGAAATGATTTAAAATAAACCAAGAACAAACAGACACTCATTTCAGCAAAACAGGAGTAATTTGGGAAGTTATAATAATATGGATATGGAAATTTAACTACTCTTTTATATACTACACTGTTAGAAATTTATTACTTTCCCATAAAAACAAGCTTTAAGTTTTAGTGACTCTTCTGGAGTTAGAGTATTACCAATTCTTCCATGTCATCAAAGAAAAAGGCATTCCATCCATCCACCATTCTTTGTGGAATCTGTTTTCCATCAAATATCTGCCAAAATAGAGAGGGACACAGTTACCACTCTAATCCAAAGTCACCATAAAAGACTTGCAGTTTCGCTGGTGAGAAATAATACAAAAATACAAATCTTTTCATTTTAACAATTACTTCTAATATAGGCAGAATTTCCCATTAAAAAGCCTGAAAGTGTTTTTGCATTATTGCTATACCTCTCTCAAATTATTTGGGTCTTTTTACTTGTTCTTTGCAACTAAGAAAACATGACTGAATTACCTCATCAAGATTCCAACATCCTTCTTGCCCACAAAACCTCTAAGGAGACTTTATATGACTCCTATTACATTTTGACTTTAGCAAAGCCAAGGGGAAATTCCACTGTTATTTAAATGCACTCTCAGGGTAGCAATAAAGTAACAACCCCCAACCACGTCTTAAGTCTCAACTGCAGTGCTTAAGCCAATTTTCCTCTTGCATGCAGACAACAAAAAAGTCAGAAAAGGATAATTTTCAGAAGTGCTTGGGAGTTCCAGAGCGTATCCAGGAAGAGGTAGATAGCTGACTAATTATGTTCTCCCCACCCATGCAATGGAGGTACAGAATATTATTTTTCTTAAGAAGGTTTCCTGGCACATCTAAAATAGTATCTCTGAAGCTGTACCAAAGCATTGGTTATCTTTTTTCCCCCCCTCATCAAATCATAAAATAAACTTTTTCTCTTACAGATAAGGTGTTGAGCAATAAATAATGCTTCTGACAATAACTGATGGAAGAGCTGGACTCGCATCTCAAGAGCATCTGGCGCAGTCTCACAATTACAATTCCCTTCTCTCCATACCACCTGCCAATTTTTTTTTCTATCCTGTTCAGCATATAAATATCATCATAAGACCAAAATCCCAAAGTAAACATAACAGCAGAACTTAGGTCCAACAGATTCCCGATTTTGTTGTAATTTTCTTGGTAAGTTTTACCCACTAAAACCAAGCAGGAGTTGGGGACTTGCTATTGCAGAAGGGCCCCATATTTCATTCATCCCCCTGATCCTGAAAGCCCAGACTTCTCATATTTGGCTTGAAGAAACAAGGCATCTATTTTCATAGCCTCTTTTTCTGAAAACCTACCTCCTGAAGAACTGGAATAACCGGTGGATTTCTCTGCTGTAGAAAGTACAAAACCATAAGAATATAGGCATATGAAGACAGACTGCCACGGGATGCATCACCAATATCGCAGCGCTGAAAAAATAAATTTTAAACAAAATACTGAATTTACATTTTATTATTCAACACTAACAACTATGTCAGAGAGCAAAGAGAAACCCCACCAGTAACGGAAAATACATTCATCTCGTAACTAAAAATTGTTTTATGAAGCCTGAAAAATGTATGTCCTCAGAGTCAAGTGCTATCTGGCAAATCCACAGCATAATTTGACTAACACAGAAACAGAAAAGCTTTTCATAGCCATATTTTTTTTAGTTTATAATATGCCAAATTGGGGAAAAAAAAACCCAAAACAAAACCAAATCAAAACCCCCAAAACAGAAATCCCAACAAACCTCTACATCTGATGTCCACGTTTCAATACTGTAAAATTTAATTTTCTTAAATTCGTGTTACTAGAGCTCATTTCTACAATTCCTTATTGTTTTGGTTTTCCCCCTTTTTAAAAATAATTAATTAATAGGCAAGTATTTCCATGTCGTACTGGCAACTTAGGCAATACCTGGCATTTTGCTAGCATACATACACATACCTAATTAAACCATGGTCCAGCCTGCACAACACAGCGTAAAACAAACACCAATGAATTACCTTACTATGCTTGAAAATCTTATTACAGTATAACCGTTCTCCAGCACCTGCTTCTAAACTACCCTTTGCTTCAAGCATGTGTCATAACAAACATTTTTAACCTCCTAGGTCTGGAAAAAAAGGGATTCACAAATTACTTTCCAATTAGCAGCAGCAGTGACAGCTGTTCTTGGTTTTTCTGCCAAAGCAAACGGAGGAGGAAGCATTTTGCTTAAACACAGAGTATTTGTATAGCTATGAAGTCACCTCCATATACATACATTCAAGAGTGTATGTCCCACAACTTGGAAACTTGGTCTTTACAGTAAGATTTTTAGAATGTATACAATAGTATGCAATACTACCAAAAAAGTGTAAGATTCATTATTATCAACACAAGGCATTTTTAATCTGGATACCGAAGAGACATGGCAATATTCTGCACTGCTGTGACCATACAAAAAAAACCAAACACATTACTAGTCTTGGTGACAGTATAATGAACATGTCCATTCCATTCTGGAACAAAGTTATTTTATTAATCTTGATGCATTTTATTACATTAACATCTGGTAGCATAATACACTCTCTATAACCCATTTTTTATTTGCCCCTGTTTCACTAAGCTTTCTTTGGATGTGTATTTAATAGTGCAGCTTGAATAAAAAGAAACACCATATTTCAATTATCAAAGGCGGTATAGTATAACACTTTGTTAGAATATCATACGAAAAAAAGATGCAGGAGATTAAGAGTTTGGTAAATAACAAATACCAGAAGTCAAGTATATGTCCTAGACACATCAAGTAGAGACTTATGCATTCATCAACCCATACCTACTCCTGACTTTTACAGTAAGTAAAACAAGACAAGTAGGCCAGAAGAAAGCTGCAGTAAATCTCTGCGCCGGTCCTAGATATGGAAACTTGGGAAGCCCATGCACAGCCACATGCCCCTACATCTTACAGTTACCATTTTTTCCAGTTTTGTTTGTTTGCTTGGGGTTTGTTTTTTTTTTTTTTTCACTGTAGCTGGTTTGAAATTGAAAACGAAAATAAAGTTTTCCTTTCATCAGCTTCCTCTTAAGACACAAATCTTTCAACAGATAGCAGAAGATTCCAGGACTAAAGAACTTGAGTCTGACACACACAATCAGATGGAGCATAGTCAGCTTAAGAAAGTGCACTTCATATTAATAGCGTTCTACTGTCTCCTTTCCAGTTGGTATTAGCAAAAGGTAAACTCAGTGGCTGTATCAGAAAACACCGTATTATACAAATAAGTACCTTCTTTTTATATTACCTTTGCAAAAACTTTCATTGTATAGCCCAGATATTGCACTCTAGGATCAATAGCCGCATACGTAGCCAGCATTCTTGTGTTATGCTGTGCCTGGGAAAAAAAAGAAAAAAAAAAATCAAACAGGTGTTTCAATGTAATTTGTGGTTAATTGTAGTATAGTCTGCAGTTCAAGCACAGGAGATGCATAATACAACAGGAGGGCAAAAAAAATTACGACAATATTCCATAAAATTCATGCAACATTTCCTGCACAAATGTAACTGAAAGGTGTAATCAGGACAGTATTAACACAGTAACAACATTAAGAACCTTGGAAAACACCAGAAAAGAATTAAGTCCGTAAAATGACTCACATTGGAACAAACTCCACAAATTGCATCTTCTTCACAGGTGAATGTGAGCCCATTACCTAAGAAATCGTGCAATCTCATTGTGCTAGACACAAGCTGGGATGAGATGTACCATTCATGATGGCAGAAAGGCCATGGTGACTGTGGCACTAACAGCTTTTCAGGAGCACTCACAAAAATGCTGATGCTGCCTGCCATCAGGTTATACAGCTACTTGGGTTGCGCTGAGGGTGTGGGTCACTGAATTTAAATAATGTAGGAAAAAAAAAACCCAAACACACAAAAGCTTTTTAATTCTGGTTTCAAAATTATTCCCTCAAATGATTATTTGAGTGAACTAACAATGAATTAAACAGCTTTCTTTGAACACAAAGCCAAACACAAACAGATGCTTACCAGTGTATTGTATAAACTGATATCTCCTTCTAAGCCACTTCGTCTGTGTTCAAATTTTACTATAGGCACTTTGGCTGTTGTTATAGGCAAGATGTTTCTCAAACCTAGGGAAGTAACACTTTAGTACACAAAACATTTCCATTTACTATCTATATATATAAAAAAGTGTAAATACAAAACAAATAATACTTTAAAACACCTACCTGGATGCTTCTTAAGAACTTTTGCCAAACCTTCTATTATTTCTTTACAGTTTAATTTCTAGGAAAAACAAATATCACAGCTTCAGATGTTAAAACATAGATCCTACCCCAACAAGCACATTTACTATCAAAAATATATTTTGTAGAGGAAAAGTCGGCATAAAAAAGAAGTAAGTAATAATCCAGCACATGAATTTACATGAACTGGTAACTCGTATTCTCTATGTGGACAACTACAGTACACTAAATGTGTGTCTGTAGGGCATTAAAAGTAAAATAGGCTATTATCTTGCTTCAGTTGTGCAGAGCGCAACAAGCCAATGTGCTACTAGCAAAATCCTACCTTTTCTGTGTACAGAAATCTTAACTGAATTAAAAAACCTCGAAGAATTCTTTAATTTAAAATAGTAGTTTTATCAATTTCAGGACTCTTACCTCTGCATTTTCATGGCCTTCCAACGTCATGCAGATATCGAGATCACTGTCCCGAAATCCGAATCCATTCTTTGAAGAGCCAAACAAGCAAAGTCTGGCTTTGTCTGATCAAAAGAGTAGACCAAAAAAAGGTAAGTTTTTTTACAGTTGAATGGTAAGTGATTACTATTGAATATTGCTTAACTGAGATGTATAGGTGCCCATAAAAAATGAGCTTTAAGAGAGAGCTTACAATGCCCACTTCTAAGACTTCATCTTTGATAAAGGAAGAAGCACAATACTTTGAAATTATTTATAGAAAATAAGGCAGGATAAAGCCCATGTAATTTTTATGAGTGAAGTATGTTACAGAGTTACTATGACCATTAAATGGCATCTCTAGATGTGGTGCAATGTTTTGTGGTATGTGACTGCACTTTCCTGTTTTAAATAAATCAAAATAATGTGCAAACCCAGTCACCAGTCCAGCTTTACCCCACAGATAAGACAGAGCTATTCTTAAGGTAGCCCAAGCAATTATTTCTGGTTCCACTCATACTTTATCTAGATTGCATATTTTTCCTGTGACTAGGTAAATTTGGTCAATCAGTAAGTTTCTGTAATCATAACATACTGTTCAGCAGATACAACGAAGAAGATTAATATATTTTATGGCACATTCTTTCCCAATTGTTTTGTTGACATTTTTGTTTGAAACACAACACTATAATGTATTTTCACTCTTGTAAAGGAAAGCGAAATTATGTAACTGAGAAGAAGCAATTTCTTCCTAACTGAAAAGAATACATTTACCTGTTCAACTGGAATCAATGCTAGGAAAATATTTATTAACACCTATTCATAGCTTTTTCCTAACCTTTAATAGAATTGGAAATCTTAAGTCTTTCAAGGTTCTGTAACAGGTCTCAATCCTCAGCTGCTGCCAGTAAGTGGAGGGCACAGCCGGTGCATGGAACTGCAATTCACAATTCCCTGATCACAGGCCAGCTACAGCAGAACGGATGGCCTTCTGTGTAAAGCAGTGGACTGGAATTCAGGAGACCTGGGTTTGGTACCTGGCTCTAGCACTGTTTCACCACACCTACAAAAAAATCACTTTGCATCTCTGTGCCTTGAATTCCATCACTGTAGTAAGATACTTTTGCCTATTTTATAAAAGGGAGGTGAAGTTAACAAACTCGTTAAGATTTCTAAGATGCTTAAACACTTGTGACTAGGCAACAAAAGTACTCGGCCCACGATGTGGGTAACACTAAACCCAACTGGCCAAAGCCCATTCAAGCTTTCTTTTTGTCCTGACTGCAACAGTCCTGTATCTGCATTATTACACTTGCAGCTCCTCCTCCATTCTAGGGACATTTCCATGGAATAGCATTGAGGGATGTTCAATTTAGAAGTCTGCAAGATAGCTTTACATACAGAGGGAAAAAGAGATGCCACTGCTTTAAGCAAGGAAAATGAGCAGTAATGAGACAAATTACAGCTTCATGCTCTGGACAACATGAATGAAGAAAGCATTATCAAGAATTACTACCTACTGTTACATACCATTATACTCTTTTCGAATAAATCTTTCCAAACTTGCCAGAATTTGTTCTCTGTTTTGTTGCTCAGATAAAGGAGGGGATAATTCATCTAAGTAAAAACAAGTGAAAACACAGTCAGACGTGACATTCAGCTACCTCAAAACTTTTTTTCAGCTAATTAAAAGTATTGGATACCATTTTTGTTGTTGTTACATTTACTTTCCTTGAATACGTGTTTTTCCTTTTTTTTTTTTTTTTTGTATCATTAGAGTTGTTGGGATTTTATTTCAGACATCTGATTTTTCTGCAATTATTCAAATATAGAGCATCTTGGTGGGCACCTGGTGTCCAGCCAAGGTTAACCCACCACAGCACTCAAAAGGGTTTTTTTCCAAAAGAAGCCATAGAATTTGACAAACACAAAAACTAGTTTTTCCCAGAACCTAATTTCTGGGAACACTAGTAACTTTTTACAAGCGCAGTGAAAAATACTGCATAGTATTAGTTTCTCAAATCTGTTACAAGAATTTGGTATCACAGGCATGGGTTATATGAAAATAAAACTATTGGTGAATCTGTAGCCTAGGGTACCTGGAAGAGCTACTTCCCACTGAATTTACTGGAGTAAGTAATTTAACCCTAAAGTTTTTATTTTTTCCAGATTACAGTTCACAGTGGAGTGCAAACACTTTTCCAACTTACCAAAACATCTTTTACACACTATATCAAGTATTTCCCGAAATCTGTCTGTCATTGGTGGTAGTGGTTTTAAATCAATTTTCTTGAAATCCTCTGGGCAGTCATTTTTGGAATGTCCATCCCGTTTGCAGATGCTGCATACTATAGTTGGTGGCTTTTGGGGGCGGGGAAGTGCACAAATACAATTTTACTTTTAAGATAGTTCAACAGACCTAACATTTCCATGCAAGTCATGCAACCAAGAACATGTAACATCTGAACAGCAACAGAGTCTCTACAAAGAACAGAACACCTCTCAACGGGCTGCATTTATTTCTCACAGTGCATAAGAGCACCGGGAAATTATGCAAGAAAGTAGGAGAGGAAGGAGGAAAAAAATCCACAAAACAACCAAAAAACAAATCCCAGGATTTTTTTTTTTTTTTGTGGAAATCGGAAAGCTTTGCATAAGATAGGGGCAACAGACCATCTCATCCAAATGGCATACACATTTGGTGTTTTCGAGTCCTGAATAACAGGTACTCTAAAAAGGCTAGAGCTACCATTCATAACAGAGCCTGAAACAATCACTGGGAGAATCCAGTCATCCATCCACCCTTAGTTTTAGTGACTTAAAAGTAATAGCCCATTGATACATGACCAGCACTGCTTAAATACACAGCTTACCTTTCCTGAAGTCAAAATAAACTTATCAAACACATAATGCATTTCTTCTGTAGAGAGTCTGCCTTCATCTTTGAGATCATGAGCTTCCACCATTGCTTTGCAGTTGGGCGAGGTAGCTGGTGTGCCAGTGCACTTATTCTTCTGAGAAGACTCTATTACCAAACTCTGTCTACTTCCAGCATCAGAAAATTCATTACTAGAATTTGTGTCATAGGGCTGATGTTCACTGCAGTTACAATGGTGGCTTGGCTCACCTTCAGTTATACAAACTGAAATTTCTAAATCATCCCTCTCTTTAAGTGATTTTTGCTTTAATTCACAGCATTCATTAGAAATAAAGGATAAAGCTTCTTCTTTGTCTTCATCATAACTCGAGTCCAATGTTGAAAGTAGCAAAGAGTCTATGTTCTTGGAAGTACATCTTTTGGCTACAGCTTCTACCACTTCATCACATTCAAGTTCATTCTCTGGTATGTTACATCCACTTCCCGTAATTTTTTGATCTACAACTTTTTCCCCTTGTGGAAGGCAACAGTTGGCTACAGGCTCTTCAGATCTTGTGGATTTTTTATTATTCATTTTCCCTTTTTCTTTTTTCTTGGTATCTGGCTTGGATTTAATCCCATCTTTACTTTGTGGACATGCAAAATATTTATACGCTGTCCTAAATCGCTCCAGGATGTACTCAAATACCATCTGGCTATTTAGACTTCGTGCAACATTCCTCTTTAGTGCAAAAGGATCTACGAAGAAAAAGAACAATTTAATTAGTAAACTTTAATTTCTACATTTCACTAAAGCAGCTGAAATACATAAGTTATGATACAGCAGTTAAAAAGAGATGCTCGTAATATAATCCAGAATTGTATTTGGATATGCTTAGAGAACGTAGAGCCCACAAGCTTCTTTGGACTTCTTCCATACAAAACACAACACAGGTCTGGCCATGAACGGTTGGCTATCATAAACCATTCTAAATAGTGTTATTTAAAAAGAACACCACAGGTATATTGTACCATTATATTAAGGTCAATTTCTAAACTAGAAATGCAAATAAACATACAAAGGCAAAATAAATGTAGGCCTGTCTGAACTTTTTTCCTTCACCAAAGAAGGAGTTACATTTCCCTTAAGAAATTAATTTTGCCAACAGTAACATTAAGGTTTTAAGGATTATATGAACCAATCTCACCAGGTTTCATTCTTAGTCCTTCCTAGCGATTTCTAGATCAAACATGTTTTCCAAGTAAAAAGAGCACTTGCACAGTTGCTATAAGTTTGCCTGGGAAGATAGTATCAAACTGAGATTCTGTTACTTCATAATTTCAGTTACAAACTTAACATTAAAAATAAACCAAAAGCAAAAATTAAAAACAAAAAACCCACAAAACCAAACAAAAACAACACAAGAAGACCAACAATAGCAGGTATCAGAACCAGAATGCAATCTGTTTTTTGAAATTATTTCCTGTTTCTTCCTCAGTAATGTGCCCTTTCATCTTCCATGTTTTAGTTTCCCACATGCTGAATAAACACTACTCTAGTTTTAGAACTCTCTAGCTAAAAGTGATTGAAGAAAAGAATTGGGAGAGGAAATTAAAGCCACAGGAGTGACCTCAAGACTCAACATGTGCCTCAACAATTCATTGCTTGTTTTTCTCCTTTTTACTTTTCTTTCTTGCTCTTCTTGTACCTTACTGAGTCATCATTCAATATACCTTTAGTAACTCATTCTCTGTCTTTATAATTCTCTTTGACCTATTTCTCCTTGTCCTCTCCATCACCTCATGTGTTACGGAAAAGCTACTTCATCAACATCTCTAGGAACTGTCCAAAATTCATTATTTATGCTTTTACAAAAATATCACTTTAAATGGTTTCTTAAGCTTCCTCAAATACCCAGTTTCTCCATTCTTAAGGCCAATTCAGGATGCCATGTATTTCTCTTAAACAGTACTGTTAAGTACTGTTTACACATTTTTCTGAGTTGAGGAACAGAATCAAGATGTCTTCCAGTTATAAAGAAATAATAGACAAAATAATTTTCTTTCTTCTCTCCCCAGCATATGTAACTCAGGGTATGTATTATCACCAAATTCACATGGTCTCACTCCCTGAAAAAAGCACTTCCCTTAGCAGGATATTCAGGCCCTGAAGCATAGCCTATGACACGCCATTCAGTTTCAGAGTATGGAAATACTACCAACAGGGAAACGGACAACCGGGGGGTAAGGGGTTGGGGAGGGGGTGTTACTTTGACGGGTGCTGCTTTTGGCTTGGGTAGAGTTAATTTTCTTCACAGTAGCTAGTATGGGGCTATGTTTTGGATTTGTGTTGGAAACAGTGTTGATAATACAGGGGTGTTTTTGTTACTGCTGAGCAGTGCTTACACAGAGTCAAGGCCTTTTCTGTTTCCCACCCCACCCCACCCGCAAGGAGGCTGGGGGTGCACAAGAAGTTGGGAGGGGACACAGCCGGGACAGCTGACCCCAACTGACCAAAGGGATGTTCCATACCATATGGCATCATGCTCAGCATGTAAAGCCGGGGGAAGAAGGAGGAAGTGGGGGATGTTTGGAGTTATGGCATTTGTCTTCCCAAGTAACTGTTATGCATGATGGAGCCCTGCTTTCCTGGAGATGGCTGACCACCTGCCTGCCGATGGGAGGTAGTGAATTAATTCCTCTTCTTGCTTTGCTTGTGTGCAAAGCTTTTGCTTTACCTTTTAAACTGTCTTTATCTCAACCCATGAGTTTTCTCACTTTTACTCTTCCAATTCTCTCCCCCATCCCACCGGGGGGAGTGAGCAAGTGGCTGTGCAGGGCTTAGTTGCCGGCTGAGGTTAAACCATGACAATGGTTCACTCTGATGAGAGCTAACCTCTCTGCTCAGTCTGCATTACAGTCAGAGGAAACAAACTGACAGCTGGTAACACTCAAAATACATTGTGGTTTTAGAAAATGCAGCTAGATGTGATGAAAATTCATAACATCAGAATTATTAAAAAGGAATAAATAATAGCTTATAGAAAGAATGAAACAGAGACGAGAACAGAATGGTAGGAAACAGTGAAACAAATTTACACCTCGTACTTCAAGGACCAGAGTTACAAAAAGTAATAATAAACAGAAAATTTGTCTTTAAACAGACTAAATAGCTGAAAAAATATACAAAAAAACAATTTACTTTCTCCTCCAATTATTGATTTAGTTTATTGTCCAGACCTCTTGTGACAGACCTGTAAGTATTAGGTAAATAAAGATAATAATGCACGATGACTACAGAACTAGAAAAGAGTATTATCCTACCTTCAATGGCTATTCGCCTTTTAGGCCAGTTTTTATTCTCTCTGGTTAAGAGTTCTTGTACCCGTATGCTGATGACATATTCCTCCAAAGCAAATTCCAGTGTGTAAAACTTCAACAGTTCTAACCACAGTTGCCCCAGTGAAACTTGGTGAGGGGTTCTGAATGCTAGGAGAGACTGAAACACATGGAAAAGAATGCTCAATGGCAATAAGAAATGAAAATTCCCATTTTTTTCCTGGTTCCATCCAATATTAATGTTTAAAGATTAAAAAAGGGATAAGAGACAGAATATGGTTTTTCAATCAAATAAAGCCACGACTTACATTGCCGTGTTTCTCCTTTGCATTACTTTGGTTGTCCACTTCTGAGCTTGTTACCTTTTTACCACCACCTTTTTGTTGTTCAGCTTTAGTTTTACTTTCTGCTCCAACTGTGTTTTTTGCTGCACCATTTGTTGGTGGTTTGTACTCCCACCGTACAAACTCCTCTTCTTCTATACCTTTCAGCTGGTGGTCATCTGGCCTCTTTGAATCAAAGCCTTCAATCTAACAACAATTAAATTAGCTCTGAAACAAGACTGTATATGATACATACAACCAAAAGTTTTCACCAAAGGTAACACTGACAATTGTGATATTTATCCCCCTCAAGAATAACTGATGTCAGAGAAATAAATTCAGAGAATTAAAGAAGAAAATATTTGCCTTTTCTCCAAAATACAGCATGACACATTTGCACAGGCTATAGCAGCTGCCTTTTTTCAAAAGTCATCAGAATCATCAGGCACCAACTGTGTGAGGATTAAGTACCAATGCATTTTATTTATAAATTTCTTAGGCAATCAAATTCTGCACATTTTATGACCCAGAAATAACATCAACAATTTAACAATAAGGTTACTATATTACCAAAGCACTTACCCAATTGCCCAAATAAGATGGTAAAATGCGTGGTTTTCTTTGTTGGAGAAAAAATATCACCATTAAGGCAAAGGAATATGAGGGAATCCCACCTTCAGCCTGACAGTCAATGTGACAGAGCTGTAAGAGAATAAATCATTACTTTTATGATGGAGTATCAGCATTTTAATTTAAAATCTGTTATTAAAGGACAAATGTTAAAGAAATATGAAATGCATACCACAATGAAACAGAAAATCCTTTACCTCAGAAACTGCAGTTGTCACATCATACCACATACAGACAAAATGCAAATTACAGTAGTACATACAGTGCCTTAAGTTATACTATTTTATTTTAAGTTATTCGCTTCGGTTTCATCACATTTTGTGATTGTGGGACACATTTATGTTCCTACCCAGAATTTCAGTCAACTATCAGGTTTTTGTTATTGTGCAATATCTCATGTATGGAGATGGGGATTCTATGCATCTGGCTGTAATCTGATACTGATCTCTTCTATGGGAACTCAAGAGAGATGTAATAAATGTATTAGACCTCGAACAGTTCTTTGTAGTTTCTACAGCTGCTACTTACACCTTGCTAAATCAAGCAACAATAATACCATGCAACTGATTTTTCAATAAAGCCAAGACATTTTAAGTCAATTACGGCCTGGCAACAATTTCAGGACTTTATTACAAGATAGTTAAATGTTGGTTGTGAGCATTATAACTTGGTTCCTGTGATCACCATTGCTGTCTGTAGGAAGTACAGCAGGGTATGACGACAGACCCTTTTTTGAGCAAGTTAACTTTTTTCAATGTGACCTTAATAGCAGAAAGTTTGCAAGACCCAATTGCTCCATTGAGCTGGTTTTCAAGGATCAATTAACTAGTTTTAAGGAACTAGCGTAACAGCTGGCTAACAGAATAGTGGACGCTTCATACATATTTACAGTTTCACACCAAAATCTTCAGTCTTGTTCTGGCCTGTTAAGGTAAGAGGCGAACTAGTGGCATGAAGTTATTTTCTGCAAGCATATTCATGGTATATTACACATTACATTGTATGCAGTACTTAAAAAGAGGAAATAAACATATTTAATTATCTGCAATATTTATAAACTTACTCTAGCCCAGTAGCGAAAAGCCAAAACCAAGGGAATAAGGACAGGCTCCAGTTTACCAAGTGCAGCCAGCAGGTCAGTTGTAAGGCAAGCCACATCATTTCTAGCACTTACTTTACATGTCAAACCACTGCAATTACAAATGTAAAACAGATAGAAAGAGTTATTGCATTGTATATACAGATGATGCTTGGGGCAGGGAGGAGGTGGGGCATCACATCCACCATAATAAAAACATGCATCAGTGTCTCCCTATGTAAGAACCTGAACTTTTTAAACAAAAGCTACAGAACATAATCACATTTTCTTTACTATTAACTCATCAGCTGGATCTAGAACTTACAGAAGTTCATTACATTTATAAAAATATAAAAGAGCATTAAGAATTTGCTCTAAGCTCTGCCATTACTTAATTGTGCAATCTTACCACAACTCAAACTCCATGTATATCTTCCACATAACAAACAAACAAATAAAACCTCCAGTCCTGCTGCATATTAAGAGTTGGTAAGCCCACAAAACAGCTGCTCTAAAAACTTTGTTTGCTTCTCAGAATAATTATTTCTATTCTCTTAGTACTTACAAGGCATTTGCATAATCTACAAACACAGGAAAAGATATGCCCACCTTTGCTGCATTTACTTTCCCAGAGTTTCAATCACATACCTCTAGCCAGTCAAAGCAACGTGGACATCACACAGCAACCATGCTTCATTTTGGAGGTTGCTACTTCTTAGAAATTTGCTGAAATTGTCAGACGGTATGTCCTTACTGGTAATGTGTATCTTATAAATGTTTTTAAAGCCTTGGATTAAACTGCTGGCAGAAATTTTAACTATTAACTGAAACCCACTTCACTTTTCCCCTATTTAACTAAAAGTGGAACCGGTATTTTCAGACTCCTACAACTAACGAGCTCTTATGAGGCACAAAAACAAAGCTAAGCTTTCTTTTTAGATTGTATTTTTGTGTATGAGCAATTCCCCTTTAACATGAATGTTAGCTAAATGTTACATTAATACTTCTTATCAGGAGTGCAGGCAAGTAGCTGCTATGAACAAGCATAGTAGAAATTGTATCTCATTGAAAGTCCTTGTCAATGACGTATACCTTTTAACATCTTTGCAAAAGACAACAGGAACTTTGGCATGGAAATCTGACTCCACATCTGAGTAGACAGCTAAGCAAGGGAAAAAAAAAAAACAAACAAACAAACAACATGATGTATGAAAGTCTTCTACCGTTTTCCCAATTGTGTCTTTAAAACTATTACATTTATACCATGCTTTTACGGAACAACTCAAATTAAGTGCAGCATAGCTAACCAGTAAGCAATATTTTGTGGTTAGTTTTGATGCTCACCACCAGTATCACACAGCCAGCAGGGGGGGGAAAAAAAAAAAAAAAAAAAAATCCTTGTCAGGAAACTGGGCTGGTATCTCTCCTAGAACCTTTTGGTCTTTACAACATTTGAAAGACACAAGGTTAAATCTCTGACAAACCATCAGGACAGTCTGAGAACCACTTATGGAGCTGACCTATCAAAATTTTCTGAAGGATCAAAAATGCAATGCTACTTGTGTCACTTGGTTTAATACGTGCAGATTACGGGGTTAGATGACCTGCTCTCAGAACAAGGAGGCTACAAGTTTCAGAAGTCTTGTAATAGTTCTCACTGATGTTTACATGCAAGTGGGAAATGGCTTTTGGGTTTCCTGCTTAGAATTTCTCCTACAAAGTTAAATACTTTTTGACCTGGTATCTAACACTATTACCAGCAGTAGTAATGTTAATTAAATAGAAATGAAATACAACTAAAACTCACCACTGTTCTTCAGGATTTCAAGCACTTGTATCAGAACATCTGGTTGACTCATCTAAAATGGCAAAAGTAGAGCAGGTTACATTATTCAGACTAACCTATTTTATTTTACACTTGATTTTAAACTACTAAGGTTGCACAACTACTAACAGTATGTTCTTCCACAAAAGTGAAATCATGTGCCAGTATTAATGAAAGTTAACTGTATCTGTCTGCACCATGAAAACAGGTACTAGTAAACATATTAGCCAGCTTTTAGCTTACAGCTTTTTTAGTTAATACTTCTGTTCTAGTTCCGTATTAACAGACTCCATAAAGTTAAAACAAAATCCTTGCCATATATTCAACAATTTCAACGTCAACATATGCCACTAGAAATACACAACAATAAGGAATTTAATGTCAGTACTTTCCCAAGGGTTGTAATTTTAAAATGTGTTTTCTTTACTCCCCAGAAATCACCTTAAGTGTGTTTCAAAGGTAAGGTGTAAATAGTTCAAAGAAAAGCTAAATATTAGCACCACCTTTGAGCCTTTGTGAAAAAGTGACATGGTACGCTCCACATGTAACTGTGTGAAAAAAACCCTCAATTTTGCTTCCTAACTGCAGTATCATTTCAAAATACAATGTGTAAGTATGTAACCAAAACAGGTATCTTGAATTCCACTGTAACACATACAGTCAAAAAAAGAGCAAGTTCAGCAGCTGTGCCACTAACAAGAATGTGCTGCTAGTATCACATACTAAATATGAACCAACAACTTCAATGTTTAAAGGCAAGTTATACTGCTCTGCAGGAATTCTGTACCACAGTAAACTGTAAACTGGGATGTGACATCTACTTGCAAGTGACTAAAACATAAAAGGAAAATTGTCACTTTTAGCCCCACAATTAAGGCGGGAGGGGAATGAAGACCTGCAAGATTTTACTGTCTGAATCACGAGCACATGAACGCACACTTATCCAGAGCCAACTCTTTTCATATTGCTTCAATGTTTACTCAAAAAATTTTAAAAAAGGCTAGCATAGGATTGTCCAAAAAACCAGAATTAAAGTTATCTAATAAGCAATGAAAACTTTATCCACTGGATTCACAGCACACCTGACACCAAATCAAAGATTCTATGCTTTGTGCTATTCTAACACTGTATGCCCCAACAGAAGATGAAGGCAATGGCATAGAAATAAATGTTGATGGCCTTGATTTAAAAAACAGTCTTAGATAATACAAGATAATATCTACACACCTTAGGAGGGAATTTGATATCAATGTTAATATCGCTGGTCTTAAAAGCAAATCTAGTTAAACAGGAGCCATACATCCTCAGTGAACAGTCTGGAGGAGAGAGAAACATAATTACTTAACAGCTAGTAAATAAACCTTTAATGAATGATGCACACCTTGCTTTAGATACAGTACGTCCCAAGTGGTACTCCCAGATTAATGAATATTGAACCACTTTCTCACTCCTGTGAAGGCTAGTCATTTCCATAACACAGCATCACAGGAAAAGGGATAATTCAAATAGTGTAACTGCCAAATGTCAAAAGTTTTTCCAGCTGTTTTAAAGTATTTTTGCAACGCAGCTTTAGTTTTGTTTGTTCTTAATATAAAATTAAATATAAAATAGTAGTTACTGTCACGATCTCAGCGCAGGATTTTATTTAACAGCTTTTGTTAACTACAGCTTGATTCCACTGCAGCGGTTAGCCAATTATAAAATTCTTTGTTGCCTCATACACTTTTGTCCATAAAAAAATTTTATATGTGCTACAATCTCTTAATTACATTAACAGGTTCCTATGCACAATTAATTATGAAACATGCATATAAAATGTAAATTCATTATAGTCCAAGACACAAAATACAGTATCCATTTAGTAAGTGGTTTTAAATACAGTTCCATACCTGCAAAGACATACAACAGATCTAAACTAATTAGAAAGTAACTATTCAGTAATAATATCATGAGAAATGGCATTCCACTCTATAAACAGTAATTTATCCCACTTCATGATATAATTTTTGTAAATGAAAACTCTCATGTCACATACATATATTAGGGCTCTGATATATTTATGTCAGCTGAAAATTAAGACTATTCTCATCCCTTCCAAATCCAACACCCTGCTCAAGCAGGCTCACCTAGAGCAGGTTGCCCAGAACCGTGTCCAGCTGGGTTTTGAAAATCTCCAAGGATGGAGAGTCCACAACCTCTCTAGGCAACCTGTGCCAGTGTTCAACCAGCCTCACAGTGAAGAGGGTTGTTCTTGTATTTTTCCTTAGTACCTTTGTTTGTGTTCTGACCAAACTCTCTCAAACACAACAAAATAATTCTTAAGAGAGAAAATAAATCTTATACATGCACAGCTTCAAACAACCGTTTCTCTGTTTTTCACTACTTAGAAACTAGCCCTCTTAAAAGGAATTTCTCTATGGTAAGTAAGTAAATAAATAAATAATACATTGTAATTACTTCCAATGGCTTTTCATAGTAGTAGGAATTTTTGTATAGTTCTAATGCAAGCTCAAGACAAAATCATGCCAAAACATCCCATGTTTTCTACACTGTGCATGAATTAATTTTTCCCTAATTTACCATTTTGGAAAACACATTCAGTAAAACACAGTGGGCTTTGAAAACGGGAATAACAAATCGTCATTTACTACTTCCCCTCCACTACTACTACATCTCCACATCAGCTCATCAGTCCAAACAGGTCAGCCAGCTAAGTAACACTAACGCAGTAGTTTTCACAAGCATTTATGTAAAAGTAATAATTTCCTTTGCTTTGTCTTATGCTAATATACTACCAGTGGAAAACTCAACAGTGTGTCAGAACCGGTCTGCACTAGGAGCCACATATAGCAGTATCATAGAGCAAACAGATTAGCAAACCTCCACCCTACAAGCCTGTGTTCTATTCAGCACCTTAGTTTAAGCATGTATTTAATATAGCTCCTAAAACTAAAACTGATTGTCCTGCAGCAAACAAACAAAATCTTTCTTACCACTGTATTTTTATAGAGCAAAGGGAAGGTATTTCTAAAATAAAAGGACAGTATAGAATATCAAGCCAGTTTCAATATGGATGAAATGAAAAGTTTGAAAACTTATTTTTTGTCAATGAGATTAATACTTTCTTCTGTTCAGACTCACTGAAAAATGTTGTTAACCTAATTTCAACATTACTGTAGCTCCAAAAATCTGCTCTCAAACTTCCACTGTATTAACTATAGGAGATGATAGCAAATCAATGGAAAGAAGCAAATGTCAAAGACTATTTCATTGTTATATTACCGATATTATTTTATTTTCCAACAGTTGTATAAATTGGATTTGAATGGTTAACATGTCCTACTGAAGTAACATACTGTGCTTCTGAAGTGGGAGGAAGGGGAAGACTACCATTCAACTTATCCAGACAGACTTATATCCAGAAAATTTTTACATACGTCATTAATGCACTGAACTTTATGGACCCACTGAAGCAAAAAAAAATGGGACTAAGCATTTAACCTACTCAGACTTCTTTTCGCTACATTATTCTTATCTTTAATCAACATAAAGCACTCAATCAAGAAAAAGGCAGATGAGGTATGACATTTATATGTGGTTAAGTAAATGTAATAATTTGACCTATTTAAGACAATTCTAGAGACTTTGGGAAGCTATAGTCGATTCCAAAGTACACCTCTCCTCATTTTAGGACCTGTTAACCATAAATATACATGAAAAGAAATACCTGTTAAACAACAACCATTGTTGATTTTAATGACTCGTTTTAATGAACAGTTACTGATTAGCACCTGCAGATATTTCAGATAACAATTAAGCACTGAAAATGTCTCATATGCTTACCAAAATCACTCATAGCTGAGGTCTACTTTGTTTGTTCCTAAAACTATGCTTTAAAAAAAAAATTGCCTCATGCAAGTTCTACCTGCCCTGAAAGATGTTATGAACAACTGAAGGACTGGTAGGAAAAAAATCCATTTCAAACTCCTTCTCATTTTCCGTTCCTGCTACATTTACATTAGCCGAATCAAGTGCACTTGGGGAAAAGAAAATCTCTACTGCCACAGCCACAGATATTCAGTAATGCTACGTAAGGTATAGGTGGAAAGGTTTGTAGGACTGGAGTCTGAGGGAGATCCTCAGTGCTGAGGCTTTAAACACTCCAATCTTCATAAGAAATCATCACTTTAAAGAGGACCAACAGCTTCAATAAACACATACCAGAAAGAAGCAAAAATAAGCACAATCATATTTTCCTCTTTTTGTAGGTTTGTTAGCTCCTTTTAAATCAACTGCCAGTCTCTATTAAAATGGCTGTATATATTAATATTGTATAACATAAAGATAATTTAACCCCAAATGCATTAATTCACCATTAATGAAGGTATCAAAATCTGTGTAAAAATAAAGAAGAAGAAAAATTTTCACCTAAAGAACATAGAGAATACCATGAATACCTGGTAAAGGCTGTTGAATAATTTTCTCCATCTCGTTTACAATTTCTTGACGAATTCTGAAGTCATCATCTGATATGCCTTGTTCATTTGCTGCCTCAATGAGTGTAAAACTCAGAGCAGCCAACTGTGCAGAAGAGGGGGGTGGGAGGGCACGCAGCTCATTTTCTTCTTGTTTTTCCTGAATAATTGTTGGATGATAAAAGTAAAAACTGGTATTTTAAGAGAAAAAGGTTATCTCATACTATTGCATGCTATTAGAACATACTGTTTGCTGTTTGTGTTCTTCTATTTACATGGTGTCCTGCCCAAACACTTTCAAAGGTAGGAACTCTGCCCGGCCTGACTGGCAAATGTACTAGTGTGGCTCACAGAAATGACAGTAGATGCTCAGTGTCTAAAAGAGAACATGTTATTTCACAGCTGGCAACTGGGGAGGAAATTTGCTGTGTTACATTCCTGAACCACATTTTCTGACAGTTCTGAAACAGAATTCACCCAAGGAGATGAAAAGCTGTAATTGTTCCTACATAATAAAAGTAACTGAGCTGAGAAAGTTTTTCCAGTCACACAGATTTTTTCAGAGTGGATTGTACTTGAAGGAAAGATATCAGAGGCAGAAAAAGTATTCCTAGCTCCAAGAAATGTTGATAACTTGAGTCCCACTGCTGCCTCAACAGCTGGTGCCAGAAAGTGCTATTTTTAGTGCATCAAATTATAATCGGTTTAATCCAACAGCAAGAAATATGTCAGATGCATCAAGTCATCTGGGAGTAAGTACAACAATCACTTGTTTCATGAAACTAAATGAAATCTGTGACTGACAAAAGAAATAAGTACTAACCAGAAAATAATTATGCACTAAGAAAACACAGTCAAGTATGAAAATGTTTGGTTAGTTCTAGGCTGCATCTCTCAACTCTTCTGTTCTTATTTGAACAAATTAAGCGTAAGAAAGAATATGTGCATTTTTAAAGGGCTGTGGGTTTTTTTAAGGTCACTGCTTTAGGGTTTTTCTTGAGTGGGGAAGCCACAGCTGCTGCTAAGCTTTTTGATAGTCATGTATCTTACAGTCAGAGATGTAAATAGGTGTCTTCTATGAAGTAACATTTAAACAGTTACATACCTCTTATCACTGTACTGTGGCACACAAAACTATTTGAAGACCAGTGTTAAAAAATGAAACCGCTCCCTGTCCTCTAGCATTTCCATTCAGTGGTAAGGAAACCTCATTCCTCAATTCTTATCTCCATGCCCAGAAGAAAAGCATGGTGCAAAACTGTTTCCATATCAAACATGGGGCTGGTTTGTTGCAGGCTTTTTTTTTATCCCGTGATGCAATTTAGCAGACAGCAAGAGAACTAGAATCCTTTATAAATAATAGCTGAACATAATACAAAAATGTTATTTTCTGAGATGTAACGGATTTATGGCATTCAGAGTTTTTCAGGTGATGGCTTGCATATATGATAGAATTAGAGCATTAATTACAAATAGAAGTATGGCAAGAAATACATGGAAATAGGAGTAATTGACTGAATTTTGGGGAATGTTTGTAGGAGGAGTAATTTTAACTATCTGAATCACAAAACCCTACATACTTGGGAATTTGTAGCTCTTCATCAGCATTTACAAAAATGGGTTGGCAAGATCATCTGTGCACCATTTACTGAATTTCATGCATCTAACAGTTCTTTAAAGCAAAGCAAACAGTAACACCATGGTATCTGACAAGGAAACTGTTTTTCTCTTTGAAAACCTTAGAACTGTTTTTCATATTTAACATGTACATAAACCCAGGGAGATAATGAGTGACTCAGGAACTGCTGAATCCCTCCCTACTTTAACTCCTTTTTTTTGGTCTAGACACAGTATCCCTTCCGCTTACCCATCACAGAAAGGATGTAGATAAAAATCTCACAAGTCAGACAAAAGAGAAAAAACAGAAAACCCCAACATCCCCAACCCCACCTCCAGCCCCTGGAGGTCTTGCTACCAACAGTATTATTTTTGGAAGAAACAGGAAAAAACTAAGTATGTTTCTCACCTAAGTTACCTTGCCTTCTGTTACTAAAAGTATGATGAACTGCCCACTACTCAGAGACACTAATTCAGAAGCAATGACCAAAAATGTTCTTTCCTCTCTGCCTGGACAGATCATCAAGCCCTTCCTCTCTCAAACAGAAAACAAGTACAGAAATTTGTGGATCTCTGCTCAGCACACAAACTTTCACCTAAATGAAGATGACCAAAGAAAACATACCACATAACAAAAAAAAAAAAAAATATTTTTGTTAAAAAAAAAGAAAGAAAAAAAACAGTCAAAATTTTATTTGTTAACTTACCATTATATTTTTCTTATGACGTTTTTCTTTAATATGCTTGTGAGCTCCCTGGATATTTTCAATGTGAACTAAGCAGAGCTTGCATAGATACTGACAGTTGGTGTATTCTGGGGAGCGCTGAGGAAAAATGGCCATAGATTAAAAGAAAATGTTTCTGCCAATAGTGTCTGAAAAACTCAATTCTTTGAATAATGAATTGTATTTAACAATTATGTAACACTTGTAATGTCAAGGTGCTTTGCAAACATTAAGTAATCCTCAAAAAACACAGTGGAAATGGATTTTTACCCATATGACAAGTGGGAAAAGCAAGGAAAGGAAGTGAGATGACTTGAATATTACATGTCTCAGTAAATTTTAGTGAGGCAAGATTAAGATTGAAGAGTTTATACCTCTTAAGGCTGACCTAAAGGCCAGTAAGCCATTCCCTTCTCAGCTCAAGCTTTTAATAACTACAGATTTATTAAATCTTAGCATCTATCCTTCTTTCTCTCATGAGAAAATGGGAAGTATTCATCACATTATCTACTATACATGTTATGACAGATGGTGGTGTTGTTTGGCTAGCATATTCACAGCATAATGTGCAAGTACTGCATTTTTTGTTCTATTAAACAGGGTGCGGCTGGCCAAGGAGGAAGATAGCCTGTTTCTGACTTACTAATGACTATACTCTGGATAAGGTGGGATCCTCTGAGAAGGGGTAGGATTATTCCATTTTGATGAATAATTTGGGATGCTCAGAATTGGAGAAACATGCAGAACAAGCATCTTTTTGTACAGATAGGCTGGGAGAGATGGAGTACACAAATGGAGAGCTGCCACCTGGGAGACCCCTGAGAGTCTGCAAGAAGCAGGCTCAGGAGATGATGGGGAGGAATCACTATTTTCCTAGGGTCTGAGAGGGGAAACTGGGAAGTTTATTCAACCAGGAAACCTCCAAGAACTACTAGACTAAAAGGCAGAAAGGACCACCTCTGCAAAGATATGGGGTTGTTCGCAAATACCCCACTTTAACCTGTCTCATCCTGCAGTTATATTTTCTTGCTCTAATAAAACACAGCTATAGAGATTGGAAACCTTTTGATATGCTCACTGCAAAGACAAAAAAGCCCCAACAAAAAGCTTTTGTTTTCCTTCACACTTGTTAGCATTTTTCCAATAACCGCTATCAGTTATAACTGGGAGAGAAAAAACCCTACTCAGCATTTTCATCCTAATTGTAATACATCTATATTTACTAAAACTGAAAAGTATACTGAAAACACCAGATGTTTAAACAGTGACGTACCTCTGTACTCACAGAGAACACCATTTTAAGACACTAAGGTGGCCTACAGATCAGTTAAACAAATTTGACTTACTATACAGAAACCTAAACCACTGCTAAATTTGGGCAAGTTTTTCCACTTACTGAGTTTGATTTTTGCTTTTGGGAAAAAAAAAATAAAAGGTCTGATACCCTCCAACTGCAGAGTAAATACAAATTTAAAATAACATGGCCATTATGCTTTTATTGCTAATTCTCTTCATCCTTATTTTCTATGAGACAGATACCTAGTAAGATGAAATTAAACATCCATTTGGAAAACAACTTATAGACAGTTACACTTGGCTAGCTCGGAAGATTCAAATATTTGATACCTGATGATTGAAGTAGACCAAAAATATTTTACCACTTTTCTAAAACTGAATGAATAGAAGCAATAATCATTAAAAAAAAAACCCTGGGTATTTTCTTTACAATACTGATCTGCAGTATTATGTCAACAGATGTTGCCAGAAAAGTTGAATCATGTAACACCTTTTATTTTGCCTTCATTGCAAAGCCTTTTTTAATTATCTAGTTATGCTTAACACCAATGAAAGGGGCAAGAACTCAAAACAGCAAGACAAAAAAAAATACAGACTACTTCGTGAGTCGAGACAGAAACACCCAAACAAACCAGGCCTCATGAAATTTGTGCTTGGACATTCAGGGAGCTAATCCATCTCAGAGCCAGTTGTATTTTAAAGAACTTACAGAGAATGGGAAGGTTCCAGATCACTAGGAAAAAGAACTTAAGAATATCTTTAAAAGGCTAAAGAGGATAAGCCAAAGAATTAGAGACCATTCAGAATTAGCATCCAGAAAAATACTGTAATATTTAGTAATGTATTATTATTTAGTAATTAAATTATTAATAGGCACATAGGAAAAAAACAGGTCATAGATGACAAACTGATCTGCTATAAACAAATTCCAGTAAATCAATTTTGGGGTTGCTTTTTTAAAGATAAAATCATAGGGCTTGAAGAAGCAGCAGCAGATGTTGTATCTTGAATTTTATAAAGTCTTTGTCACTTGTGATAGTATCAGTCTCAAAAGGAGACCATAAATATTATCTACATAAAGAACAGCAAAGCGGGAGCAAAAGTGCTCAGAAAATTGTCCTCAGAGCACACAAACGCACACTGGTTCACCACCAGTCTAAAAGCATGTGCCAAGTATTTTTCAACAGGGGTCTTTCTGGGGTCAGAAACATTCATATTTTTGTTGAAGACTTAGGAAATGCAACAGAGGGTGCGCTGACTACAAATGTGGAAGATACCAAGTTGGAAGAGGTTATAGAAGATGTAAGATGACAAAAATTCAGTGATCAGAACAAATTAGAGAAATTGAATAAATAAGCTGCAATTAAATAATATCAAAGCAAAGTACCATTCCTCCTTAGGTATTAGCAACTGCAACAATACTGGGCTGGAAACACCTGAACGGGCAATTCTTAAGAAAAGGATATGGGGATCATTGCTGGTCAAACAACACGCCAACATCCTACTGCTGTTAAAAAAACCCAGAGATCCTAAACATAAATGCTATATTTCAGACAGATGAAGTCAGCTTTCCTCTTTATATGCAAGACCTCAGCTGAAATTGCATGTCCAATTTTGGATATGTTACATGGTGGATGCCTACAGAAAAGCAACAAGAATGAACCAGTAACTAAAAAACACTTGAGACCGAAGAACAAAGAGCGAATCTAAAGAAGGTAAGACTGCAGGAATGGTAATGATCTTCAAACGTGTAGAAAGCTGATGAAAAAAATAATAAACTTATGTTTATTTTCCTAGGACAACATACGAGGGATTAAAATGCCTCAAGAGACCCTTACATTAGACATTAAGAAAAACTTCTGGGTTACCTATACTGACTTTGAAATTTGTTTCGCTGGAGATAATATTAAGAACAGTTTAGACTAACATTTTTAAGGAGTCACCTTCAATATAGGCGACCTGGACTGGTGGAAGGATAATATACTGAAGATAGGGCTAGGTTCCTTTCAATCCTGTATTCTGAGTTTCCAGGTAACCCAACTTTCTAGAAAATGTTAGGTAAGTAACGGAACTGTAAACCTTTAGGTGTGCAGAATTAAAAAATGCTGTTCTACAAAGGCTACATGTGCCACAAAAGGAACGCTAAGTTTCCAATCCGTATCATCCGCCACAATGCATGACTAGTCAACTACTAGGGATAATACCTTAGATCACTAAAGTGATTCATTATAAAGAAGAATGAAACAGAGGCAACAGGCTCTAGTAGAAATACCACCCAACCAGAAATATGGTGATGATAATGAAAGAAGACACCCATTTTCTTTTTTATCTGATAAATAACTCAACCTACTTTTTCAAGTCGGGAGATATAATCTCTTTCCAGACGTTCTTCAGCTTGTTTCAATCCTAGTTGCTGTTCAGCTGTCAGATTAGATTCATCAATAACAGCGGTGTTTTCCAAATAATCAGCTTCCAAAGTATGTTCTTTAGTTGATTCAGAATTCTTTATTTTACCTAGAAAAAGAAATAGTTATTTTCTTCAGAGTAACTTAAGGAGAGGAAAAGTGAAAGTTACAATACAGAGCAGTTAAGAGCATCTCACTAAGGAGCTGGACATAAATTAGAGCTACGTTCCAGTTTTTTGTCCAACAGCTGACCAAAATCACCTTAGACGTTAGAATCTTTCCAGTAGGTTAACCAGTATTTTGGAGAGACTTCAGAGACTAGTCTGCTACTAAGAGTGGTATCAAAAAGAAGAAAAAAAAAATGGAAAAATGGTAGATTCATTTTGTGTTTCAGTCATAACTTCACAGTTGCTATCAAGTTCTTCAAGGCAAGAAAAGGTGTTTTTTTGTTACACAGAACAGAGTATGCGAGATCCCGATGGTCAGAAGCATCCCAATGGTATGATAACAGAAATAAGAAATATTAGGCTTAAATTTTTTTTACACAATACATTTTGTTAAGGAAACAGTAACAGAACTGCCTTAAAAGACATTCACCCAAATGATCTTACAGAGCCAGTCATCAGGCATTTCAACCTCTCAATTTAGAAGGCTGCTGGAGTTACATCTGAACACACTGTGACACCTTGCCGCCCACGGCCAGCAACAACAGAGCTCTGGAACGCTGCTACTCACAAACATGCAGGTCAACTCCGAAAGGCCAGTTCCTCCAGATGCCTATGAATTGATCATAGTCCACTACCCTGTACAAACATCTACATGTTAACTACTCCAGTAGTTTTTTACATCAGCAAAAGTGAAGGTTATTTGTGTTTTGGGTTTTTTCCTTTTTTTCTTTCCTTTCAAATGAGATGTGTGTCCCCAGACTAGCTAGGAATCAAAACTGAGCAAGTTTTCAAGTCCTGGTTTCTCAGTGACAGATGGTCCCTACAGTACATGATGGTGGTCTACAAGAACTGACTGATCACAGGATCCTGCCATTTCAACTTGGTTTTCCTGTTAAATTTTAAGATAGCTAAAAAACCATGCACTTTAATATTTTCCTAGTATTTCCATACAAGCAACTGCTGTAGCTGTTGCAATAGTGGGAAATATTTCAAATAGGTCATCTGCACTGGCACGCTGTCTTAAAACAGCATTTTTATTAGAAAAAAATGCATTCTGAAAAAGCGTGACAAATCCTGAACTAAGGAGTTAACCTGAAGTGAGACAAAGCCTGATCCATGTATTTAATTCCGAAATTGAAAAATATGTCTAAGAATTGAACACTTATAAGGGTTAACCACTGATGGATGGTATGGATTCCAGAGCTCCCTAAATCAAAAAGCCATCTGCCAAAACATATTTTAAACATTTTTAGTAACAAAAAGAGCACAACAATCATAGAAAAAAAGGTAAATACTTTCCCCCTACCTATAAAAAAAAAAACTTTTCTAGAAGATTTTTCCCCTGATCTTTCTGAAAAGCAGTAATAGCTGGCATTTCCATAAGTGGCAATGATATTATGAAGGGTTCCCCTCTCCCAAGACACTATATTCACAAAATTGCCTGAAACCCACACACACTAAGTATCTTGCAAAGATGTTTATTTCTTAGGCATGAAAAAAAAGGACAGCTATTATCATAATCTCTTATGCTCTAAGTAATACGCCTGTATTAATAGTATGTTCTCTCCAAATGCAATCAGCAACTTAACTATATGTGAAAAAAATATGCAAATAGAAACATTTCAAAGCCCATTTCAGATTGTTAATAATTTTACCAGAAGAAAATTTAATAAAGCAGTGTTGAATAATACTCACTGGAGTCATCAGGCTTATGTTCCATTTTTCTTTGATCTGAAGCAGTCTTACCAGGATCACCAGTCTGATCAACACCAGTCTTCAAAGTATGAACTCCCAGTGGGTTTTCCAACACCAATTTCCCTTTCTGTGTAGCTGTTAAACTTTCCATAGTGACCCCATTCCCTGAAACATGGGAGCCTGGAAAGTTTTCTCCCACTGGTTGAGCTTTTGTCTGTTTCAGGTTTTCCACTGCTGGTGATAAATTAGAAAATTTTTTTGCCTTTCCATGACTTCGATCCTGAACATTTGACCCCAGATCTCTAGTTCCAGCAATACAACTATTTACTCTGCATGATTTATTTTCTCCTTGTTTTTCAGAACAAACATCATTTTGTTTACTTTTTTTGCTGCTATTCCCACTTGGAGAACTTCTTCCCACATCCTTCACAGATTTGTCATTTCTATTATGTTTATAATTTTGATTATTTGTAACTTTGACTGCTTTGCCTTCCTCAGAGACAAGACGGACAGACTTCCTTGGGTCATGATTTCCATTCTTCGAGCTCTTGGCCTCTTCCATTATAGTGAAGACCTGCTTCTCCTGTCTCTTGAGACCACTTGAAGTGCAATTCTTCAGCAATTTGCAGTTGATTTTAAATCCACTGTGCAGGCAAGGATCGTAGCTGATTGTCTACTGAAGAAATAATGATAGACATTTTTAAACTGAAGGAAAAATTTCAAAGCTGTATGTAGACAACACATTAAAATAAACCTCTCTAAAGAACAGTGCAACTACAAATTATTACAGGAAGCATGTTGCCCCCACAGGCATCAGTGAATTTTCATAATACATTCCATATTAAAGTAAAACTCCTGAAAATTTTTATCACCTTGCCTTCTATTTAAAAGAAGAGGGGATATGAAGAGATGAAAAATGGCATAACATGGTAAAAAACACTTAGTGATAAACCTGCCAACAGCTTGCTTTTTTCTTTCCTTCCTATTTTTGGCTTTCTGAAAAAAACAAGAACCAAGATGTCTGCAACTACACTGGAAAAAAAAAAGAAAAAAATTAAACACATCTAAAAAAATACCACACAATAAACACACAGACCAAATTAGCTACTAGAGAAAACTAATTCATTTTCCAGCAAGCAAGCTCCGTTATATTAACTGATCTTTTTAAAAAAAGTATTTAGAGACATAGCTCAAAGTATTAATAATAAACCTGACCTACCACCTGTATGCACAGATACTTAAGGATATTTCTGACACATACAATTCTCACATAAGTTAACTGCCATCAATTAAATAAGATTTTGCTTAGCCAAAAACCCCACAAATAGTAAATATTTTGTTTAACTGCAGATTAACTTTATTTATCTAAGCCTCAGTCCTTTAGGTGGTGTATCATCCGAGCTTTATGTTTCAGGCAACTCAAAGATTGTTTTTCCAATGGGAAGCTAAGCATGAATAAGTGGGTCTGTTTGTAAGGAAATACTCTTACTAATATAGAAAACAGAGGGGGAATCTGTAACAAGAACTTTGATTTCTTCTTTAAATAACCTTGAGATAGCAATAGAAAAAATTATAAGAATGAAGTATTAGGCATAGAAGAAAACAGGTTTTATAAAATTGTAGCAAGATATGGAGTTTGGAGTTTCTCTCTTTCCTGTCCAGCTACGTATTTGGTAGGTAAAAGCATGATCCATGGAAATTTCTGGGTTTTAGAGAACCCATCAAAATAAATAGCTTATCATTTAGTGAAGGAAAGGAATAATAGAAAAGTCAATGAATTACAACTATTAGAAGTATCACAATGGACTTTTGTACTTAAATAATAAGAACCAGAAGGAAGGATCAGATTAAAATGTCTGGTTAAAAAAACCCTTTCTGAATATTATCAGTATAAAAGACAGTAAATTTTTTTTTCAGGCTACATAGTGTCATTACTACCTCTCACTTTAAAGAGATATAAATCAGAAAATACTTCAGGACATAAAGCACATACTAAAAATAGTTATCTTAAGCCTCTGTTGATGTAATTGAAAATAAATATTATCTTTCAAAAATTAAATCAAACAAACAAAACCGACAAGAATTTTTATGACATTAATGTTAGCATTGCAGTCTTTTTTCAAGTTTTGTATTTTACTAAGGAAAAAAAAAAAAATCTGTATTCCTAAATTCATTCCAACAGCTAAGTATTTTATCTCACACATACATTTAGTTAATATTGCAACTACTTTCTATTAAACACTGATTACACCTGGCTCTTACTTCTAGTCCAAAAGTCAAAGACCAAATATCTGAAAGATTGAATAGTATTTGCCTTTGTAGTCGGCCTTTCCCATAGCAATTCTTACTAGCTTGGCAGCAAGAACTACTGCCCACCTGTACTAGCGCTGCTCGAGCCTCAGTGTGATAAGAAGAGCCCAGGGTCCTCGCAGGTTGGCTAAATTATTCTGGTACAGCTCCATAGACTGGTGAGATATTATAGCTACGTACAGGATGTGGCTATCTTTAAACCGTACTCTACTGTGATTTTTTTAATGTAACTAAAAGGGAAAGGAGAGTAGGATTTTTCAAATTCTAAACTATTCCTTATGTTTTAGTCACTCAACCTGAAAAGGGGGGAAAAAACCCAGAACAACAGAAACAACCCCACACACATCAGTTCCACTTTCATTCCTGGTTCATTTCTGACATCCACGTCACCCTTCAACTCCAGACCGGAGCACACGGAGGCCACACTTCCACATTCACTGGAAAGCAGCGTAGGTCGGCACCAACTCCACCACCAGCAGTAACACCCTTTCTCCAACACCAGCTACTTACTCCCACTCCTCGAGCTGCTCCCTTCCTTGTGCAGCTCTGCAGCAAACAAAACCGGAAAACCAATCCAGCTTAACATAAAGCTGGCACAAGGGAGGAGGAGGAGCAGGAGCTGGTAATAACAAACAACTAGTAGGGTGGGGACAACTTGTCTTGGCACCACTTCCAGCTTAAAGCTACCATGCAACTCTGGCATTGGCGGAAAAGTGGGGCTTTATTTTGCTCTGCTTTTTGTAAGTGTCAAATTGTTAGATTCATGTATTGCAAGAAGGTTTAAAAAAATTCCACAAAAATTCTACTGTAGGCTCAAATGATTCTATCTCATCCATTCAACAAACTACACAGTTATATATTCAAAGAGAATATATTAGCTTTAATCACATGTACAAATGTGACTGGAAAAAACAACTGAGGAAACTGCTAATAAAAACTATCTTTATAACCCAGCTAATAAATTGAGTACTGTGATAACGTTACATATTAATAGAGTGAGTGTAATTAAATGCAAGTAGTTAAGGTTAAAAAGCACAGATATATTCTTTATTCCTGAGAAACAGGAATAAAGATAGGTCATGAAATTTCCTAAGACAAGAATATTTTGTGTACACGCACACAAAAAAAAGCTCCACAATGAAATTCAGAATCTGAAATGCTGTGTACTTTGGGATTTTTTTTTGCTTTTTTCTTTTGCTCTTTAATACTGAAATGTTTAGCAAACAAAAAAAATCTAAACTGCTGTAACACACTCAATAGTTACCACGTTAGCCATCTCACAAAGAACTGCAAAGTAAACAACGCAATGAAACTTAACATGAAAAACAAAAAAAAGAGACCACTACTAAACCCAAGACAGTCTCAAAAAGATCTTTCCTCCTCTGTCAGATATCAACCATCTACATGTGAGAGAAGGCAGCGAGGGAAATGGGAGGAGGTAAAGGAGTGCCTCCGAAAAGAGCAACATGGCTGGAAACAAAACACTAGAGTGGAGTGAATCAGTGCTGAGGTGGCATCTTTCTAGAAACCTGGATGGCATCTTATTCACAAGCTCAGGCTCATACCAAATTGCCAGACCTGGAATCAAAGAATAATTTTCTTCCAGGCAGGCTGGCAATAAACCCAGAGTTTTTCACCTGCATCTGCAAAGCAGGGTATGATTAACCTGTTGGAATCATTTCGGCATATTTCATTTATCTAATATCTGGTGTTACAGGGGACTCTGTTTCCCCTGCTTTCTGAAAGTACAGTACCAGTTACTCCTCTGAAATCTAGCTCAACTCCTGGCTCTTTGTAGAAAGATAATCTGGCTGAAATACAGCAGCTTGAGGTCAGACAAGATACCATGCGATGTCAAACGTTAGAAAATTATTAAGCCTATACATACTTACAACAATCAAATTAAAAATGTTTAAAATCAGCTTCAATTTCACTACTGTAGAATTCATTTTAGACTCACGAAATGAAGGAATGAGATTGTTTCGCTTTCATTTTTGCCAGTTTCTTTTGTTTCCTGCTTCTCTCAGACGAGCATTAGAAAATTCTACATTTGAATTGCAAAAACCCTTACACTTACTTCCAAACAGGAGAAAAACCCCAAAACTTTCAAGAAGATACTTCTACCCATTTGCCCTTCCTCTCAATTTGTTCAACTGTATTTAACTCCTTCAAAAGCATATATTTTCAGTCAGACTTTGCCATAGCAGGGCCTCTTCAAAGATGAAGACGAAGTTAAACTGTGAGCTCTTGCATTCTCAGTTGCTCTTTTGCAAAGCATTTCTTTTTTAATCGTTTCATTAGCAGCAGAACTGAATATACCTGGTTTCCTATACATTCATTTTGTGCTCCTCTGACACACGCTTGACCACAGCCCATTGGGCAAGTGGAGGAGACGTGCTGTAGCTGAAGGAACATACACACTGGCTGGTTCTTAGCTACTCCCTAAGAGGAAATGCAACTTCCTCCTGCTTTCCACTCAGCAGAGACCCCCTCCTCTACTGAGGCATGATTTTTGCGGAAGACATACAGAAACTCAACAATCTTTTGACATTACTTCACACACGTTCTAAAATTTGGTCCCAACTGGCTGAAATGTCCAAAAGTGACAAGAGTGTAAAAGAGCAACTAAA